GTTAGAGACTGCCCAACACGCCCACTCCATGAGACTTTCCAAGGTACAGTGCACAACGCTGAGCCCGTGATATTTTTATTATATCGGGTTCATAAACAGAGGGCATTTATAGCGGTTTGTAGAACTTAATAAAATGTGACTTAACATACAGGCACATGTATTCTTAAGTATCTTACACAAAGCACATGTTCTCTTATTTTTTGAAGATTTTTTTTGTAATCAGGTGAAATTCATGTGATGTGCGATTAACTTTTCTTTTTGCAGTAAAAGAACCTGTATTTTTTTTTTTTTTTTGCTAAACAACAGAGCTTTATTTATTTTTTTCTTTTATTATTCATATGTGCATACAAGGCTTGGGTCATTTCTCTCCCCTGCCCCCACCCCCTCCCTTACCATCCACTCCGCCCCCTCCCTCTCCCCCCACCCCCTCAATACCCAGCAGAAACTATTTTGCCCTTATTTCTAATTTTGTTGTAGAGAGAGTACAAGCCATAATAGGAAGGAACAAGGGTTTTTGCTGGTTGAGATAAGGATAGCTATACAGGGCATTGACTCACATTAATTTCCTGTGCATGTGTGTTACCTTCTAGGTTAATTCTTTTTGATCTAACCTTCTATCTAGTTCCTGGTCCCCTTCTCCTATTGGCCTCAGTTGCTTTTAAGGTATCTGCTTTAGTTTCTCTGCGTTGAGGGCAACAAATGCTAGCTAGTTTTTTAGGTGTCTTACCTATCCTCACCCCTCCCTTGTGTGCTCTCACTTTTCTCATGTGCTCAAAGTCCAATCCCCTTGTTGTGTTTGCCCTTGATCTAATGTCCACATATGAGGGAGAACATACGATTTTTGGTCTTTTGGGCCAGGCTAACCTCACTCAGAATGATGTTCTCCAATTCCATCCATTTACCAGTGAATGATAACATTTCATTCTTCTTCATGGCTGCATAAAATTCCATTGTGTATTGATACCACATTTTCTTAATCCATTCGTCAGTGGTGGGGCATCTTGGCTGTTTCCATAACTTGGCTATTGTGAATAGTGCCGCAATAAACATGGGTGTGCAGAAGAACCTGTATTTATTAACTTACATTACATTTCTATCTGTCAGAAGTCTGATAGGAGTTTTGCTAGTTAAAATCAAGGTGTCAGCTCCTTATTGTTGGCCAGAGGAAGACAGTATTTCCTCCTTATCCGAGTTGTTGGCAGAATTCAGTTTCTTGTGGTTGTAGGACTGAAGCTTCTACTTTCTTGCTGCTGTGAGGGTCATGACCCTCTGCCTGCATGTACAAAGCCACCAGCAGCAGGTGGAGCCCTTTTCATGCATCAGATGTATTCTTTTCCTTGTTCTCATCTGTGTGACCCGTGTGACAGTCATGGTGGGTGCTTGGAGTGTCTTGTCTATAAGTTACTTAGGGGTGAGACCTAAGAAGGAAGGAGGGCTGGGCTGTGGGCCAGGGGGTTACACTGTGGCTTGCTAGTATGCCATCAGTGATCCAACAGAAGACTGATCTCGGCACACTTAATGGAAAGGGGAAGACCATTGAAGAGCTTTTTTTTTATCTTGTCTCTGTCGAGGTCATACAGTAAGCACAATCCTTGTTTTTCAGAGGAAGTGTGACTCGTCAAAGAAAAATAGTGAAATAGCAAGTTATTTCATAGACTAAATGATGGACCCCTTTCAATCTTTGCTCTTTAAAAAAAAAAAATGAACCCCAGTGCCGCCAAGAAAAAGAAAAAGACCACACTCCTTTAAAAAAAATTATGAAAAAGACTCAGATGAGTGAACATTATTACTGAGTCCCATAACTAGCCATAAATAAACCAAAATAGTATCAAATTTAGATATGAAATTCCGCATGTGCAAAATACATGATACATTTTTGATGAATTTTCTTTTAACATTTGAAATATTATAAAAAACATTATCTTTAAAACATCTCAAAAAGTTATGGTCAATTCCTCTAATATAAAATCTATCAGCTTAATCATTTTTAACTGTACAGCTCAGTAGCATGAAGGACTTTTGCACCCAGTCTACAGGATTCTTTCATACCTCAAAACTAAAATTCTGCACCCCTCAAACAGCTCTCAATACTCCTCTCCCCTCTGTTCTACTTCCTGTTTCTATTAATTTGACAATTCTAGAGACCTCACATAAATGGAATCATACAGTATCTGTCTTTTTGTCACTGGCTTATTTCACTTGGGATAATGTTCTTAAGGTTCGTCCGTGTTGTTGCATAGATCAGAATTTCCTTCCTTTTTTTAAATTTTTTTAATATTTTATTTAGCAGGACAGGCTTTGCGCTTGCTAGGCACATGCTGTACTGCTTGAGCCATGCTGGCAACAGTTTTTGCTCTGGTTATTTTGGCGATAGGGTCCTGCTTTTTGCTCAGGACAGCCTGGACCACAATCTTCCTATTTGATGCTTCCTGCCAGTTGCTGGGATGACAGGTGCAAGCCAAGCTTTTCTCCATTGAGATGGGTCTTGTAAACTTTTTGCCAGGCTGGCCTGGAACTTTGATCCTCTCAGTCTCAGCCTCTGAAGTAGCTAGGATTACAGGTGGGAGCCATCAGCACCCAGTTTTGTTGATCTTTTCTAAGACTCAACTTTTGGTTTCATCTGTTCTCGCTACTGCTTTTCTATTCTCTTATTTTATTTACCTTTGTTCTCATTTACATTCTTTCTTTCTGCTGGTTTTGGGTTTAGCTTGCTCATCTTTTTCTAATTTCTTAAGGTGTAAAGTTAGGTTGTTTTGCCATATTAGGGATTGAAGTCAGGACCTCACACTTAGAGCAAGGCAAGCGCTCTATCACTTGATCCACGCCCAAAGTCTTTTGAGCTCTGTTAGTGTAGGCTTTCACAGCTATAGGTCACTCTGAGCACTTATTTGGTTACATCCTCCATGTTGTGCTATGCTGTGTTTTGATTTTCATTCACCTCAAAGTAGTTCCCTTAGTGATATTTTCTTTGACCTACTGGTTATTTAAAGGTACATTGTCTAATTTACAAACATTTGCTAGTTTTCTAGTTTTCCTCCTGCTATTGATTTCTGGCTTTATTCTACAGTGATTGCAGAAGATTCTTTGTGTAAATTCAGTCCTTTGAAATTTGATAAACAGGTGGTTTCTACTTTAATCTTCAAATGTTGAGTCAGGTATGGGACTGCAGGCTATCAAGAAAACAAAATAAACCAACAAATGATCCAACAAGTGATCCTCCTGATGAATGTCCCACGTGCTCTGTTGTTAGGGTACAGTGTCTGTTAGTCTAATTGGTTTATAGTGTTTTAAGCCCCCAATTTAGGTTAAAAAAACCCCAAAAACTGAAGGTCATCAAGAAATCAAGTGCTGATGGACTAGATAGATCTCAAATATAGCTCAAGTAAATCTCAATTTATGTTTTTGAGGGAAAATGAGGTTACTCTGCCCAAAATAATGTAGTGTCAATAGGATTTTTCTTTTGAAGTATATTTAAACTTCGTATATTCCTTCATGCCTACTATACAAATTCATACAACGTAGAAAGCTGGAGCCCTTGGACCTCTGCATAGGTATTTTAAGGGATGTTAGCATATGCTGTGTGCTGTCTTTAATTTGAAAGAATCATTGTGCCCAGTCCCAGCTATTATAGGAAGTGTTATTACAAACATACCTGAAAGAAGCAGTGTTACCTAACAGATTTGGGGTGAAACTATCGCCACTTATTTAAAATTTGCATATTTGCTTCATTTTAAAATAATTTCAGGAATATGAAATGCAGAAAACAAAAGAGGAAGACTTTTTGAAGTTATTCGATAGGTGGAAAGAGGAAGAAAAGGAGAAACTGGTTGATGAAATGGAAAAAGTCAAGGAGATGTTTATGAAGGAGTTTAAAGAATTAACTTCTAAGAATTCAGCATTAGAATTTGTAAGTATCAAAGCTACAAGTTCTCAGAATACTGGTTGCCTTGAGAGATGGTGTTATCCTGGCATTTTGGCCAAAGGATTGGTAGGTACTTCACCACACTTTGGTGCAGATGCCCTCCTTGCCACAGGCAGGTCTTCAGGGGAGGACAGAGTCTCTAAAGTAAGCAGGATAATGGCTAAATGAGTCCTGGGCCCTGTGGGAGCAGCCTTGGACCATACTGCTGTGGTCACAAGCATGGATGATAGACAGGAGATGCACCTGGATGGACTGGGACCTTCATCCTTGCTGCCAGTCAGGTTCCTTCAACTAAGAATTCTGAGCTCTCTGGGTCCTTATGATCCAATCATCCTTCTGCAAAAGGAAGGAGGGAACTGAGGGGCAGTCCATGGGCTCCCTCTAGGGGTCAACAAGTGTTAGAATCCAAAGTAGAGGCTACTTGTGGAATACTGTTAAGATGCTTTTCTAAATTCTTTAGTTTTGACTTAAAGTCCTTTTCTGCTGCTGGATGTTACACTTAGTTGTCAGGTCTCCATAGGTTCCTCTTGTCTCTGACAGTTTAACAATTTCAGGGAGTACTGGTCAGTTACATTGGATTCCCTGCTACTGGGACTTGAATCTGTTGTTTTCCTCCTGATTAGACTGAATTTATAGGTTTTTGGGTAGGAAGACCTTGGGGATGAAGTGCAGCTTTGATCTCCCCATGTCAAGCCTTCACACTAAGGCCAGCTGTCGTTGTTGGCCTTGACAACCTGGCTGAGTGAGGTTTTGTCAGAGAAGGTTTCTCTATGGAAAAGCTGCTCTTTTCACTCTCTGAAATGGTCCCTGTGAGCAGCGCACACATAAACAATGCCCCCCCATCCCATTTTTGAAGTTCACATATCACCTCCTATGGTTTTCCAAGTTTTTTGGGGAGTAACATAAGCAATAAGTAAAACATTTTTGTCCCTAATGAATTTCCTGATGTGGCCGCTAGCTAGCGTTGGCCTCTCACTAAATTATCTTAGCTTTTACGAACCAGCTGTACTTAGTTTTTGTGTTTTTGACAACAGTTATGTTCCCATTAAAAATTTAAAAACCAGAACAGGTTTTTAAAATTAGAAAGGTCTCTAAAATTAGAAAGTCAGGGTTTCCTTTCCCTCTCCTACCCTGTACACATTCTGATGGAAGGACCAGAAAGCAGTAGGAAAACTGCACAGCTCCAGGGAGGGAGCACTGGGAAGTGCACAAGGAGTGCTGGGAAGGACAGTCAGATTTCATACATGGCTTTGTGCTCCCTGATTTTATTCAGTGTTTCAGTCTGATAAAAGTAACAACATTTCTGTCAGAGATTTTGAATTCTCTTTTCTAGCAATTGTCAGAAATCCAGAAGTCCAATATGCAGATCAAGTCCAACATAGGCACACTAAAAGATGCCCACGAGTTTAAAGAAGACCGCTCTCCATATCCCCAGGATTTCCAGAACGTGATGCAGCTTCTTGATAGTCAGGTATGAAGTGGATGGTAAGCCCAGTGAGTGCCTTGGTTTTTCTTAATGAAGGTATTCACAGCAGACACGTTTGCCAATAGCTTAGGGTAGAGTGTTTATCTAGCATGCACAAAGCCCCAGGTTCAATGATCTTTTCCATTTCTTCATTTGGAAGTGACCCTCCGTAACTGGCACAGTCTTTGTTATGGCTGTTTTTGTCACAATGGTTTAAGAGGAGCAATTTAAAAAAAAAACAAAACAAAACAGGAAACAAATAGAGATTAGAGCTTTTGAATTCAGGATGGAAAAAAAAAATAAGCCCATCCTGTTTTTAAAAAGGTAGGTAGGTGTACTTTTGAACTATGGACACCTGCTTCTTGCTTAAATGCCCATTGCTTGTCTGCCTCCCCCAGGTTTTCCTTCTCCATTGCAGCCTGCTGACCATGTCACTGTGCTGTTGCAAATACTTTAATTACCCCCAGTTTTCACAAAATGAAGTCTATAATCTTTTTTTTTTTAAACATCACTGGGATTTGAACTCAGGGCCTTGAACTTGCTAGGTAGGCGTGCTACCTCTTGATCCATGCCCCCAACCCTTCTTGCTTTATTTTTCAGGTAGGATTTCACATTTTTGCCTGAGGCCAGCCTTAGACCATGATTCTTTTGCCTATAGCCTCCTGCGTAGCTGGGATGACAGGCATTATACCACCATGCCCAGCTAACTTTTTTTGCCCCAAGGCCTCAAATCTCAATCCTTCTGATCTCTGTCTCTTGAGTAGCTAGGATTATGGGTATGAGTCACCACCGCAAGGCTGAAGTCTAGAGTCTTTAACCAGCCCCAAAGTCCTTCCTACCTGCCCTGTGCCATCTCCCACAAGGCTCTGCTTTATCCTCGTACTCCAGCAGCCCTGAAAGCCCTGTTTCTAGAACCTAGAGTCCTGTTCCCTGCTAAACTCCTGTGACCTCCAAAGTCTAACTATTTGGTATAACCTCCTCATCTGCTTCTGCTCCTCTCTCTGCCTGGCAAGCACCTCTCTGTTTTCAGGACCTGTCCCTTACTCATTTTCCAGTACCTGCTGGAGTAGCACCTCTCAAGAGGATTGTCCTGAACCTCAGAGTTGTGGCATTTCCATGTTCCTCTAAGTGGGACCCACTCATGGACATATTTGGTAGAAATTGTCTATTTCCATGTCTACTTTATTCCTGTACTGAGCAGGGCCTCCTCTTAATCCTCTCCCAGCCTGCCAGTGACCACCCTGGCATGAGGAAGTCTGGGAACTGTTGACCTTTGCTCCCAGCAGGCTGGAGCTCAGTGTCTCCGTGGATTGAAGGATACTGTTATAAAATCCTAAGGTCCCACTTAAATTTCTTTTGTTTTCAACCTGTGAGCTGTGTTGTTAGATTAGAACCCATGGACCCAGGAACCTGGGGGTTTTCTTTGGCCCCTTAGATTGGCAAACTCACAACAATTTTTGCAAATAAAATTTTATTGGCAGCCAGCCATACCCAGTTCTCTCATATTTTATCTGAGGCTGCTTTCCCACTACCCATAGTTGTGACTGACTCTTGACCTCCACAGCCTAAGCATTTACTATTTCCTCTGCAAAAGAAATCTTTGCTGAACCCTGCCTTATAGTACAATAATATGGATGAGGGAAAAATAGGTTTAAACATTTTCAACTGTATTCTAAAAATTCCAGCTAACATTTGGTTTACCAGATGGTTGGGTTTAATAGGTATTCACTGAAAAGGAAGCCCTGGTTTCGAGTAGAGTTCAGTGTTAAATTTGCAAACAAATCATTCATTTTTATTCTCTCATAGGAAAGTAAGTGGACAGCTCGAGTTCAAGTTCTCCATCAGGAACACAAGAAGGAGAAGGGTCGGGTAAGACGATTAATGGGGGGGCCCTCTGAGGGGGTGTGGTTTTTTTTGTTTGTTCTTTTGCAGTGCCGGGGATAGAACCAGGGCCTCGCATATGTTAGGCAGGTGCCCTACCACTGAGCTACACCCCAACCCCAAGTAGGTCATTTTTAGAAAGAATAGCTACTTTTCTTTATAATAAAGATAATATTAAAATTACTTGTAATTTTAATACCAAAGATAACCATTGCTACTACTTTGTCATAATTACCTTCACTTTTTCTGGCTGTAAAAGTTGCCTTTCTATAATTACAGACTTCCCATATATATACATATACAACTTATGTATATATACTTATGTATATGTGTATATATATATATATATATTTATATGAAGTCTTGCATTTTTCACTTAATCATAAACATTTTTCTATACTTAAAAGTGCTTAAAAGTATGATTTTATGGATGTATCAGAAGCGATTTAATAATTTCCTCACTGTTGACCACATGTTTCTGAGTTTTTCACATCATTGATCTATAGTCTAGCTCATTTTTAAACAAAGGCAAGGACTGTTCAAATTAAAATCATTTTAATAAAGACAAATTTTAATTATGGCACTGATATCCTTTCACCATAGCAAGTCAGAAAGTTAAGTATTAAAATGGGTTTACACTACCACAAAAAAAAAATCTGAAGCAGATGCTTCGAGATGATCTTAAGACTGGAAAACTTCTCTTCTTTTTTTTTTCACTTGAAATTGTCTTTTTTTTTTTTTTTCCTCCCGTGGGACTGGAGTTTGAACTCAGGGCTTCACACTTGCAAAGCAGGTACTGTACTGCTTGAGCCACACCTCCAGCCCATGTTGCTTTGGTTATTTTGGAAATGGAGTATCGTGAACTATTTGCCTGAGCTGGCCTCAAACTATGATCCTCCTGATCTAAGCCTTCTGCCTGGCTTGAAATTGTCTTTTGTAGCCTTTGTATTCTCTGTAATTCTCTTCTGAAAGATGTCTCCTCTTCTGCATGTCTCTTCCCATGACCTTTCCATGCTGCCTGTAACCTACCGCAGATCATGTAGTTTGCAAGTGTTTAATAGAATGAAGAATATTTAGACCACAGAATTTATCAGTTTGTATTCCTCCTAAGTAGGACAATTACTGAAAATGAGAAAGAAAGAAACCATGAAAAGTACACAGCCAAACTAAAGCAAAGCAAACAAGCAAACAAAAAAATACCCTCCATAAAACACTTTGGCAGAACATTCTAGAGGAACTTTGAGAAAGTTAGAAGTTAGATATCGATCTAACTTTGAAATTGTAATATTGCTAAAAGATGGGTGTGGCGGCTGATGCCTCTAATCCCAGCTTCTTGGGAGGCAGAGACTGGGAAGATCAGGGTTTGAGGCCAGCTCAGAAAAAAAGTTAGCGAGATCCTATCTCAACAAAGAAGCCAGATGTAGTAGTACAAGCCAGTAATCCCAGCTATGCAGGAAGTGTAGGTAGAAGATTCATGGTCCAAGGCTGACCCAGACAAAAAGCACAAGACCTTAATTTTAAAAAAATAACTAAAGCAGAAAAGAGCTGGGGACGGGGCTCAAATGGTAGCAAGCAGGATGCCCTGAGTTCAAACCCAGCACCAAAAAAATATTGTATCATTGCTAGAAAAGGAAATAAGAAGCATGGGTTTTTTCTATTCCATTTGTAATATCATTCAGTTATATAAATAATTTATGCTGTTTATACACAGACACACAAATGTACACAAAAACGCACATACACTCACGTAGCAGTCTACATTGACTAACGGTTGTATCTCCAATGTGGTGATTCAATTCAGGAGACATTTACTGAGCACCTCCTACCTACTACACTTTGTAGAGGGCTAAAAAGAGGTGAGACGCAGTCCTGACACAGGGATTGCCACCTGATAGTAGTACAGCATGAGGAGAAGTGAGGATACCAAGAAGTGAGGAGTTACGAGAAGACAGTGCAACGCATCCTCGGCCTTGGACAGAGAAGTGGGGTAGAGACTGTGTGGGATGTGACACCCGTGTTCATTTCGGCAGGCTACATCACCCTTCGGAGCTCCAGATCAGGCACCTGGCTTTGTACCCAGTATCCCCACTGGCTTTTCACATGTAACAGGTCTAGAGTAGAGTCTTGGGGACGGTTCCCAGGCCTGGTATCTGGTACCCTAGTCCACCTGGGTGAAGGTCTCTCTCTCCCCTCAATTCTCAGTTCCTGGTGACTGGCAGGCTCTGCCATGCGTCTGACATCCCCGTTCTTCTGATGGAGGCTCCTTAACCAAGCCTCCATCATCCCTAAGGAGCCCGAGGTGGTCTTCCCAGTTCCAGCCTTCCCTCTCGTTAATCTGCTCTCCACAGAGTGGTTGCCAGAGTCTGGCTGCTGACCACCACTAGCTTCATCCTGATCCTTTCCCTCTTGCTCTTTCTAGCTATGATGGCCTTCTGATAATTTCTAGAACAGTCTAGCTTTTTTTTTTTTTAATACATGAAAAGTTCTTCTACTTGCTGTTCCCATGGCTTGTTCCTTCCTCCTTGGATTAGTTTTCTATCTTTGTGGCAAATTACTACAAATTTAGGTCAATTGTCACTTGTCAATGCAGGTCACTTGTCACTCCATTGAAGGAGGTAGACCCTTCCCTTTGTTATTCTCATCACTGCACAAAGGCAGCTTTGATTACTGTTTTAAATAGTTTATCTGTGGGTTTATTGTCTGTCTTTTCCAGTCTTGAATGAGGGGCTCTTCTGTGGAGTTGTCCGTTGTCTGCTCAGCATCCACTTATGTGCCTAAAATGTTGTCAATCATAGTTCTTGCTGAATGAAAGTGGACAGTCCTAGAAGTCTAATGAGGGGATCGTTCATTCCTGTTTTGTAGATGAAGAAATGATAATTTTTGGGTGCAGAAGAGTGAGGTTAAAAGAGTTGCCTGTGGGTGTCAGCGTGGTCTGCTGTTCTGCTGTGAGGGGCAGTAGTCTGGGTATCTGTCATGGACCCAGGGAGGCATTGCTTGTGACAGTGACTACATAGTCAGGATGGTGGGTGTGTTCAACTCTCAGTATGTTTTACCTATGACAACTAAGATGTGGGAACTCAGAGGCAGTGGGTGGCAGTCTTTCCATGGTGCAGGGAGTATTTTCTGTTGTCTGTTTGTATCACATGGAAGTACAGTGGCCCATTATTACAGTTCCTATAGTGGTCTGCTGGAGCTGCCCTTACTTGTGGCTCACTCACAAGTGTGTCTGTCTTCTCAATCAGTTGGGGTTGTATTTAGTTTTGCTTTGAGAGCTGGTTGACGAGCACATCACTGAGTTCCTAGGAGCATTTAGGAATACATCAATATTTACAGTGACCATGAGTTTAATCTTTCTAACTGTTCTGAGGTTGGTACAGTTACCCGTATCACAGATGAGGAATGGAGCCTTACAAAGATTTTGTCTTGCCCATGATGACTGGTATTTGAATCCTGGCTTCTCTAAGGCCCGGGCTAGTACACACTGTCTGGGTTGCTCGTCATGCTTTAGGGACTTAGCCAGCAGGAACGTGAGAACAAGAAGGGACAGCGTAGGGTGGTTGCTTTACCATAAGGACAAAGGGTGTTTCCTCTGAGGTGCTTGAAGGTAGTGACTCCTAAGATGAGATGTGCTTTAGGGCTACCTGACAGTCTTCCAAAACACACATGACTGGTTCCACTCCCTGAGATTCAGACTCAGTAGGTAACTCAGGGATATTCACATTTTGTGAAAAAAAACAAAAGCAAAAACAGCCCAGGTTATTATGTTTGGGATCTATAATTTGAGCCAGTGCTCTTAGACACTTAAAGTTCCTACTCTCATGTTTCAAGGCATCTTTATAACATTGGTATTTAGGGACAGAATTCAGCTTTCTTTATGAATAGAGGACATTTCCTTAATCATTGCTCCTTTAAAGCCGGCTGAGTTCCAGGCAATTGTGGGAATTTCATGGTCTTCAGGCTGGATGAGCACGTGAGTTTGCAGTTTCTACACTGCAATGCAAGTCATGATGGAAAGACTGATGGCTGGTTGCATAGAGGAAGAAGGCCAGGCCTTCCCTGCTCCCAGATGGGTGTGTGGCCTCAGGATGCCGCCAGGCTGCGCTGCTCACTCGTCTGCTGGTTTGACTGTTTCACAACTGCCTGCTCTCCTCCCTCAGACCCTCGCATGGGGAAATTCAATCGGGTGTGGTGATCTCTGCCTGAGACCTAACTATTAATTATTCCACATGATTGGTGTCTGCTAGTCCCACAATGCACATATTGTGTTTCTCTGCTTAGGGGAAGTTGCTTTGCCAACTTTTTATTGCTCTACCTAGATTCTTGGCAGTCTTTTTTTTTTTTTTTTAAATAACACTGGTAGGAGTTCAAAGGGAGTCACAGGTAAGCAGGTAGCATGCCCTTCTGACCCAGTAGAAGACACCTGAGAGCTTGGGAAGTTGCAGGTGATCACGCAAGGAAAGGGAAGGAGGATGGTGTGATGTGCACAGGTAGAGAAAAAAAAGCATAGAGCTTGAAATGGTAGAGCACAGAAAATGGGCTTAAGGGCTACATGTTTTTTGAGATACTGTTTGACCATTTCTTGTTTAGATTGTCTGTAATCCTTTCTCAATGAACTCTTTTGTATATCCTTATTTTTTTTTATTTTTAATTTTTTTTGGTGGGACTGGGGTTTGAACTCAGGGCGGCTTCATGCTTGCAAAGCATGTGCTCTACTGCTTGAGCCATACCTCCAGTTCATTTTGCTCTGATTGTTTTGGAGATGGGGGCCTCACGAACTATTTGCCCAGGCTGGCCTCGAACTACAGTCCTCCTGATCTCAACCTCACAAGTGGTTAGGATTCCAGGTGTGAGCCACCAGCACCCGACTCTTGCATATCTTTATAGTCCATTCTTAATTTCAGTATTCCTTGGTTTTTCCTGCATCTTCTTGCTTTTGGGGCATAATATGATTCCCAAAATTATTGATCAGGTTCAAGATCCTATACCACCATTTAGAAGCCTAAATTTTTACTGGTTTTCTTTCTAATATCTAGTCAGTATTTCCCAAATGGCTTTTGGGTGTTCTCCTCCGAGGGTCTTTAGAAGTATAGTGGCAGTTCCTGACAGTCTCATTGGAAGAGATTCTTAGCATCACAAGAATATTAATGGTTCTTTTCAGACTTCACTCAAAATCTTTCTCGCTGGTGATCGTCCAGGCTCATAGGGTCACCTAGTACTAGAGACTAGACTGTGCTACGGGTGGACTTGAGAGTGTTGACTCTGAAGCCAGATGTGCAAGTTTAAGGCTGGGCTGTGCTCCCTCCAGCTGTCTGAATTTAGACCAGTTACTTTACCTCTCTAGACTCAAGTTTGCCCATTTGTACGATGAGTCTAGAGGAGTCTCTGTAACTTTGTGGTGGGGGTCAAACAAGATGAAGTATTTAAACATTGTGAGTGTTGACTTAAATAGATACATACATTAGAAAACGCCAATCTGGAAGTTCTTACATCCCCAAGTCAGGCACAGATACTCCGGGTCTCTCTTTATGTTCAGCCTACCCTGTCTCCATACCTAGGCTTAAGCCTTAGTCTTTTTTTTCCTTGTAACTACTAAACTGCTTTTTTTTTTTTTTAAATTTAGGCAGCTACTAAAATTGCTTCAAGATCCCTTCCCTAAACTATTGAAAACACATTCTTCTTGAATTCTTTTTGTTCAGTCTGTGATCTTCCCTGCCTTTAAACCTCTATAGATGAATCTGCCTATGTACCTTTCCCTACTTTCCTCTCCCTCCCTTTCTCCCTCCTCCCTCCTCTCCTTGTCCCTCTTTTTTTCTCAGACCCCCTCCTACCCCTGCTTGTCCTCAGTCCTCTAGGGACCAGAGATTGTAATAATTGGTGGAAAAATAAAATAACTCAGATAGGCTCTCTGTCCCATTTGAGAGGATGGCACATGTGGCTTCTGCAGGACAGGGCTGCAAGGGAAGTTCAGTTTGGAGATGAGGGCAACAGCGGTCTGGGAGAGGAGCCTTCATCCTTTGTCACTGCTCATCTGTGTGTTGTTTCAAGTAATGTACTCAAGGTGGCTCAGCTGCTCATGTTACCAGTTTTGTCTGTCTTGGGTCATGAGCTCTCTGGGAAGAGATATCACCGAGTATAGCTGGGGCTTGATACACAGTGATCGAAGACTTATGCCATGTCTTGATGTGTATGGACAGCCCAAGGCCAGCCGAGAAGTCAAGGCATGAACATCAAACCCTCAGGAAAAAAGGCACTGTACATGCAGCTTGCAGATGGATTCCTTTCTTAATTTTTTACCAGCTCCTGTCACATATAGAGAAACTTCGCACCTCAATGATAGATGATCTAAATGCAAGTAATGTTTTCTACAAGAAAAGAATAGAAGAGCTGGGCCAGAGACTCCAGGAGCAGAATGAGCTGATTATCACCCAGAAGCAGCAGGTGTGTCTGGGAGCGCCCGCATTTTGCTTCTTCAAGTAACACAGATTATCTAAGAATATGGGCTGGAGAGGACGGGTTTAGTTTAGTGCATTTGTAAGTTGTAGAAGGTACAGAAGATGAAATATTTTTCCACTTAGGACTGCTTGTACAAGTAGTAACACAAGGCCCAGAGTTCCAGCCTCAGTACCACCACCACCACCACCAAAGGAAAAAAAAAAAACTCAATAAAGTAAATTGCTAAAAAACAAGGTATTTCGAAATACTGTAGAGAAGATCAGTTCAGTTAGAATTCAGAATAAATGTGAAGAATTTCTTTCAGTAGTTACTTGGCGAAGCAGCCAATCCAAATATGTTAGTTTTATAAAATTTTGTTTCTGTGCTTTTAAGGTCCATGTGCCTTGTGTCTTTAGATGATTTAATGAAAGGGTTAATTTACTAACAACCGTATCTGTCTATTTTCCCATCTGTCCTATGTGGTTTCAAACACAAGTCAGTAGAAAACTGTTTTTCTTTTGCAGATTAAAGAGTTTGCCAGTAAAACATTAAACAGTGTCAGTGAACCCAAAGGTAAGTGGGCAGGGTGTGGTAGAGGCAGGAGGCCTCCCTCTGCATCCTAACTGCTCTGGGCACAGAGTGGGTCCTACTGATGTATGTCTACTAAGATGGCATTCCTGCTGGTATTTAAATTTGGGAGATACATCTTTTTGTTATTCTAACATTTGGGAGATCTGTTGCCACAGTCCAGAAAGTGAAGAATTGTTTAAAGAACTTAAACCACCATTGCAAAGTTTCATTTTTTAATCAGAATACTAGTATGCACAGCACACTGCTCAGTAGCCATTTACCCTTCCTCCCACCTTTCTTTTAAAGACAGGGTCTTGGTTTGAAGCCCAGGTTGGCCTAGAACTCATGACCCTGCCACCTCTGCCTCCAGAATGCTTAGATTACAGGCATGCACCACCATGCCTGCCTAACCTTTTGGCTTACATACTGCTGGACAGAGTTCTGACTGAAAGCCTAGGGTTCAGGAAGCAGTCCGGCTTCAACTCCCACCTCTGGCACTTTGTAGCTTTGTGAATCTCTGCTGAGTTTCCTCAGCTGTCACGAAGCCGTATTACTAATAGCTACACCATCGGCTTGTCATGATGTGACAAAATCATCACAGTAAAAAGGAAGAATGTGTGTGGTGTGTTACACACCTTTTAAGCAGTCATCAGTGCTAGCTGTTAGGACGGATACTAAATACTTCATTATTTTGCAGTACTGTAAATGTCTGTACTGTCTCAGTTATGGAAATTTGGGTTTGAGTTTGGGTTACAGCTTGTTCTAAGCACGGTGGGAGCATACACAACCTCTGGGCTATAGCAATGATAGCCTGATTGTCTTATCTCAGTCAAGAGCCGGACGAGAAGGGACATTGGAGCGTAAGTCTAGGGTCTGACAGTGAAGCCTAAAAGCTGGCCTCCTGACCAGGGATTCCACTTGTCATTCTTGCATGTCTCAGGTTGTTAAGAAATCTTTGCTGGGCCAGGTGATGTGGTGCATGCCTGTAATCCCAGCTACTTGGGAGGCAGTAGTAGGGGGATTATAGGCTAAGGCCATCCAGGGCAAAAGCACAAAACCCTATCTGAAAAACAAACTAAGCAAAAAGGGCAAAAGTTGTGACTCTAGTGGTAAATTTGCTTGCTTGGCAAATGTGAGGACCTGATTCAATCCCAGGTACTACCAAAACAAGAAAAATGAAGTCTTTGCCTGCTTAAGGGGTGTAGGCTAGGATGTGGTACCAAGGTTTATGAATGGCATTTCTTTCTCTCGTTTTAAGATAAAGGGTTGGGGGGCCTGGGGGGAGAAGGTAGTTGTTAACTTTAACTTTTCTTGTAATAGTGAAAGCTCAGGTAGTGAGGGATACCTGTGTAATTACTTAGATATTACAAATATTTGACTGAAAGTAATTCCAGGAAAAACTTAGGTTTAAAAGGATTCTTGTTAAACATAGGTATTCTGTTGAGTGAGATGCTGTGTATTTTAAGTTTTTTCTGGGGGACAAAAACTAGGGTAAGAGCTGCCAAAACTTAACCCATTGCTTGTGATTTTTGTATGTACTTACATTTTTGTCATTTCAGGGAATCTTTTAGCCTGGCAAGCTTTTGAGTCTAAGCCTCCTGCTCCAACTGTAACTAGTAAGTTTCTGTAATAGGTCGGGGCTCTGAAATAGCTTTAAAATGCAAACATAACTTTTACTTGTTCTTTAGAGACTTCTTTTCAAAAACCAATGCATTTGGTGATGACAGAATGCTTTACTTTGATTTTTGACTTTGACCTGGTTCTGAACTCCCGTGAGGTACACACCTCATGATTCTGTGGTGATTCTGGTTAGTTATACCCATTATTTTGCAATTTGACTTACAAAAGGATGCTTAAAAATTCTTTGGCATCACTCTAGTTTATATGTGTGGATTTCCCAAAGTGATGTATTATCTGGTTATGTGACCATGTTTGGTGGCCACCACATTTTGTTACAGCCATAATTTCCTGCTAGAGGCTTTGGAAAGGTGTCCCCACCTGTTCTCACTTGTGAACATCTGGGCTGGCTGATCTAACTCCTGGACCTGTCAAGGTGCAGTAATAAACAAAATGATACAATCTTTACAGTTTAGGAATAGACAGAGTTTTCTTCAGTAATAGTGAAGCAGTTGAAATATTTTTGTTTTCATTTAGGAGAGAGTAGTGGAGAGGGAAAGAACTGGTGGTGGGGTTGCAAGGGAGCAAACAGTGTGGGTGAGAGGACAGATAGACATGTTGTGTGCACAAGGCTCTGCTGCACTAGAGGCTCCTGGACTGAGGCTGGGCACTCAGAGCGAGCACCACTCATGAAGGCCCAGGAATCAGGAGAGGACTGTGAAGTGAGCAAAGGACATTAGTAAGTGTGTTTTGAAATTTGGCACCATTTTCTGGAAAATGCTAATAGTTTTAACTGCTCAGTCTTCTCAGGTTCCTCGTGAAACCTCCTGTTGCTTCTCAATGCTGAAGAAGCTGGGAGGTGGTGGGAGAAGAGATGAATTATAGCACCAAGAGGAGAAGCTAGATCTGCATGCTAGGAAGTAAAAAATAAAAAAACACATTTCAGAATAGTTGGAAAGGTTAAGGACTAAATTATTTAAACAACAAAACTTTTAAGGGATGACTGAATTCAAAACACACAAGCAGAAAAGCAAACAACAACAACAAAAACCATGAAAAGCAAAGCCGTACTTAGTTAGGGTGAAGTCCTTTTTTTTTTTTTTTTAATTGACTTTTTCTTTTATTTAAATTTTATTTATTTATTTTTATTCATATGTGCATACAATGTTTGGGTCATTTCTCCCCCTTCCCCCCCCCCGTCTCCTCCCTTACCCACCCCCTTACCCCTCGCTACCCGGCAGAAATTATTCTGCCCTTATCTCGAATTTTGTGATGAGAGAGTATAAGCAATAATAGGAAGGACCAAGGGTTTTTGCTGGTTGAGATAAGGATAGCTATACAGGGAGTTGACTCACATTGATTTCCTGTGCGTGTGTGTTACCTTCTATGTTAATTCTTCTTTTTTTTTTTTTCATTTTTCTTTTATTATTCATATGTGCACACAAGGATTGGTTCATTTCTCCCCACTGCCCCCACCCCCTCCCTTACCACCCACTCCGCCCCCTCCCGGTGAAGTCCTTTAAATGGGGTGTTTAGACTCTCTGAAGTGTGCAACAAGGTCTGTTGGGATATGGAAAGAAATTATTTGAATTTGTTTTTATAAATTAAAAATTCATCTTTTTATGTATTTAAAAACTCATCCTTTGAGGTTTTAAAAATATTTTTATGTTTTAAATGTATATGTTTGTTCAATAGTATGTGTAAAACTTATTTAGGTAAATAGATGCGTGTCATGGAGTAGCTTTTACTGATGGGGCATCTGGCTAAAAAAGTACAGGTGCCACTGGGTTCTAGATAATTCCAGGAGAAAAAAAAAAAAAAAACAACCACAGGCCCTTCATAAATGGGTCCTTTCTGCTTCATGAGGAGGCAAGAGAGGGTGGTTGGCTTGTCCCCTACCCTCTTCCCAAGTATGGAAAATGATCTTAAAAGCCGAGATCCTAATGGTGTTAGGGACGTTCTCATCACTAAAAGGATATATGTCCTAAAGTTTAAGATGGAAAAAAAATCCAAATCATAAAGTAAAAGACATCTTAGGAGATAGACAATAAATAAATCAGATCCACAACCAGCAATATGAAGGATTTCTAATGTCTGCTGTCAGGCAGATGTGGTCAAAGCTTGGATCCAACCAATGTGTATCTTCAGTGATTTTAGACCCTAGTTAGTCATTTCAGACCTAATTAACTTCTCTGTTATAATAAGGGAGCGAGTTCTATAGTTCAAGATCTGCATGTTGATCAATTTAGGCCCTGGTCAGTCATATCAGACCTGACTTGCTATCTTCTACAATAAGGGAATGCATTCTGTAATCTAGGAAGACCAGGAGATAGATGATCAGTTGTAAGGAGATCAGATCTTTTGATTCTGTAAACTGGAATGCTGTCTAAATCAGGCATAGTGAATACTCTGGGTTTTTTTCTTCTTTTCCTGAAAAGGGCAAATAGTGACTATTAGGCTTCATGGGCAAGATGTCGATGTGGTAATAGTGATGAAAATGTTAGAAGATTGAATAGTAGTTATGGTTGCATCATTCTGTGAATATACCAAAAGCTACTTAAACATGTCTTTAAAGAAGGTGAGTTATATCTCAATAAAGCTATTACCAAAGAACTAAGAATGTAGTTCAGTGGTAGAGCACTTGCCCAGCATGTGCAGAGCCCTGGGTTCAATCCCCAGCACCTCCAAAAAAAAGAGACTGTTATTAAAAGTTAGTTAGTTTAGGTTATTCGTGTAACGTGTGCTATTTGACACATTTGTCCCTCATGGTCTGTTTATGGTGACTGATTTGAGGATGTGGTCATGTTAAAGCGCTAATGCTTTAATGATGGAGCCAGTGAGATTTTCCCTTTTTATGCTGTTTCAGTGAATGCTTCAGCCACTCAGACTTTGGAAGCTAAATCAAGTTTAACAATGGCGCATGGTAAGTTTCAGCAGCAGCCTGGGTGATTTATGTGCAGTTTCTGTCCTAAGTTAGATAACTTATTAACCCAAAGTGCTGGGGGGTTGGCATTATTTATGTAAAGCAGAAAACACTTCAGTGATTACAAAACAGTTACTGAAACTGCTGTCTTCATATGTAATATTATTGCAAGCCAGACATACCTACCAAAGTCATAAAGTGTTCCCTGTATGTATTGTCAGGCTTATCAACAGAGATTTTAACTGTGCATGGTGCTTTGATTATTTATGGGTTTTGTGGAAAGCGGTATGAAGTAAGAATGAGGGTTGCTACCAGACTGGCACATGCCACAGGGCACATGTGGTTGTTTTTATAACTTTCAGTGTGGCAGCAAGTCACCTTTTTTAAACAAACAGTTTCAGCAATTGGTTAGGAAAATCTAGAAAAGATGTGGTGGAAACCGAAGGAAATAAGTAGGATGAAATCTCAGTGGCTGAAATTGCTACCAGCATTCAGTTCTTAGGCCAGGCTCAACAGGTGTGATTGTTTTTAGCAGGATCAAACAGATGGGGTGAATATTTGTAGACGTATTCTACTTTTTATGCAATTAAAATACTTAGAGTTTTCAGAGTCTGTGCTTCAATATGTTGTTTTCCTATGGCCTGCTGTATATTACAAGTGAATCAAGATGAGAGGGGTACTGTCTTTTTTCCCATCTTACCTACAAATGCTCTGGAATCTGATGATTACTTCACTCTACTTTTGTTTTTGACCTTTTAAAAGGGTAGACTTAAATCTGTGATTTAACTGGTCATTTTAGTGGGACTTTTTGTCTTTATAGAAATTCTAGTCTGTGTATGATGGTCTTCAGTAATGATCCTTTTTACCCAGGGCTAAATCATGAATAATTTATTGGTTGCACTTTACTTTTTTTCTAAGATCACTTCAGATGGATAAATTATCTTAATCACACTATGTAATATATAAATTCTCCACATACTGGATCTCATTATTGCAAGAGTTTAGAATATTCAGGGTTTTTTTTTCCCTTTGGACCAATAATAGTGATAAAATATATGTTGAAGATTAATGTTGACTATACAAAACTTATCTCTAAATTATATTATTTTATATTAAGCCTAAAATCTCTCTGCTGTCTCTTTTTTTAGGATTGATTTTCATAAGGCATTACTGGCCATTTCTCTTTTGAACTCCAACAGTATGTTTTAGATTCTTTTACTTCCTTTTTTACTTTGTTATTGTTAGCCTTTGGAGTGGCAGGTATGGAAGGTCTACATTTTCTTTGTTGCATATTTGTTGCTCAGTAAAGTTGCCTTACACTGTCTGGGGTTAATTCAAGGATCGTAAGGAATCCATCAGTTCTAAAGCACTTGTTCTATGTAGACCATACCCTGATTGGCCCAGGGCTACAGTAATCAGTCATGGCTTCTTCCTGGTGACTTCTGGGATTGAAATGCTGTTTTGAATGCCAGCCAGACCTGGCAAGGGGCCCACCGCCCTTGGATTGTGATCAAAGCTGATTTGTGAGCATCTCAATGGGCAGGAGATAGGACGAAACTTGGCAAGGGCCACTGATGTCCCCCACTGAGCCACTGCAGCTTTTCCAGGATGGTATGGTCAGGAGGAGCTTAGTCATATATTGTGTGATGTTAATTAGCCTGTTTACTCCCCATCTTTTGTTCCATCTCAAACTTTGATGAGGTTCTTCACCATGAAAATGTCATGATTACTAAGTGTCTTTGGTTGAATTGGATTCTCTGGGGACAAATTCCCAGGTAGAGAGACCCACAGGTAGGAGGGAAGCAGGATGGAGCGAAGGGGATGTTGAACTCACATGCAGCTGGATAGTGATCTCAGTAGTCTTACTTTAGAGCTATAGCATTAAAATGGACACTTCAGAATTGTCCTCCATTGAGGTGGGGGGGGTACTTCCTCCCACTGAGAGCGATTCATGGAAGGCCCTCTGCAAGCTACCATGACCCAGCATTGCCACCACTTCTGTCCCAAAGGGGTCTAGAGAGAAATGGGAACTATGACAATTCCCTGCCTTTAAATTTTGCTACACCAGATGAAAATATAAGCAGTAAGTTCTGATTCTGAGGCAGTCAAAATGATGAAACACAGGTTCTGGATAAAATAAATGATGATGCATGGCAATTCACTTATGTTAAGCTTTTTCCTAGAAAAAAAATCTCAAAGAAATTGTTTGTACCGTTTTCTCTACTGGAGAACACATTGCCCTGGAGTAGTGACAGATTGTAGAATTATAGAAATAAAAGAAAATAAAGTATGCTTTGTTGTTGTTAGACTGACTCTCAGGCCAATTGCCTAGGTTGGGGTGCTAATATGGTCCTTTTAAAGTGATCAGTAAAAATGTCTATCCTCTGTTAGCATTAAGAATGCAAAACAACCACTTTTCCCAATTCTGATGGGTTCTTCCTACAGATGAAGATCTCAAATTTTAAGGAGGGTTATGTATGCTTTACTTTAATGGTAAAGAGGATTTCAGAAAAGAAGTTAAAAATAGGAAAGCTGTCTTAGACCTATAAGGATATAATAATTGGTTTCAAGTGGCAGAAAGCCATCTTAGATATGATAGTTACTGGTTTGCCCTCAGTGAATATTTGATATTGTGAGATGCTGAAACCTAACCCAGCACTTTGGTTCAAGCAATATGTAACATGTAGCATATTCTAGAGTTCTGGGGTCTTGTGACTCTTACAAAGAGGAAAGGTGGCTTCGCCTGAGTCCCATTGGCCCAAACAGTGTTGTAGAAACAGGATTGGACCCTCTAAATTAGAATGGGTCTGATCCCTGCCACGTGACAATTCTTACATGGAATTGTAAGGAGAAACGTTCAGTTGTGATCGGCATCCTAGACTGATATCTTGGAACAGTTCTGGAGTCTTTAATGAACTCTGAGTTTTTTGAGACAGGTCTCACTACATTCCCACGCAGCCATGATTGCCCTATTAGCCCAGGCTGGCCTCAAAATCATGATACTCCTCCATCAGCCTCCCGAGTGCTGGAATTATTGTCATGTGGCACCAGGCCTGGCATCTTTAGTAGTATCTACCTCCTCTTGGAGAAGAGGTAATTATGGCATTTTCCCAGCTGTGCTCCATGCCATATCTGTCTTCCTTCCCATCACAGACCACTGGGGAATGACAGATAGTTATGGGTTACCTCTATATTGCAAAGTCAAGGGTAGGCACAACAAAGACAGAGATGAATCTGAAACAAAGTCTATCCTTAAGGAATTTCCAGTCTATGAAGGAGACCAAATGCTTATAATCATAATAAAAGTTGGACAATTAGTAAACTAAGTGTGTATCATAAATAGGTGTATGATGATTCTGTAAAGATTTTATCCAAATTTTCCTCATAACTTTATTTTTGCCATCTTCATTAAGGTACAGACTTCTTAAAAACTGAAATGAGTTGTCCTCCTTAAATCTCTTTTCCCCGCAGTTCAAACTAGTTATAGCCTATTTGTATAATTTTAAAATCTTAATGCTGAATAATAAAGTCGAAAAGCACATTTTTGGTGTTCAGCACTTGTCTTAGCTAGATGAACTTAAATGCATCTTCAAGGGCCCATGTCTGTGTTTCAAAATTAAATGATCTCCTTTTAATGATAGGCCATGTTTCAAAAGATTATTTGAAAGTAGTATAAAATACGTTTCTCCCCTACAGCTAATGTTAGACATGTTGGGTTGCTGGCAAAGCTAGTAGAGCAGGTTTATATATAAATTTAGCAATAAATCTATCTATCCATCCATATATACATACCTACCTACATACATATATACATACACTGAGATATCTAAAATGAATGCCAGAAATACTCTTAAAGAAAGCAAAACCTAGACCTTCAAGTAGGAGATACTGTGGAACCTTATCATGCCTGGCTACCTGGAAGCACTCAGTAATTGGTGACTGTTGTTGCTGAAATGACCCTCACCTTGGGTGTGAAGTTGGAACGCTAGTGGGATAGGTGCTGTGTCATTCTTCAAGCTGAAAGCGAGTGAACCATGCATCGTGGAAGCTGATCTTGTTGGTTACATTTTGTCTTGGGTCTAATGCCTGACTACCATCATTACACTTTGTCCGTTTCTAAGATGGGGCTTGGTTTTATTCACTGTCCTGGCCAGTGGTTATCAGGTGGCCAGGTAAGAATCTGAGGTGGTATAGCTCTAATTCGTCCTACTTGGAAGACCTAGTTTTTTTCTTTTATTTAAAGATATTTCTGTATTCTATTTCTGCACTTCATGTTAGATAGATAGGTAAGTGATGAAGATCTTTTGCAATTGTGCCTTCAGGCCTTAATAAGTCATACCAGGTACCAGGTGATGAGTGAAAAAAATAAATTATTAAAAATATATAATTTTTTAAATTATAGTTGGAGTTAATAGAAAATATGTAGTAATAGAAGATTCCATGCAAAAGTGACTCATTTTAACTGACTGCGTCAGTGTATTTTTCCCAGTAGATTCTTGCTATTTAGACATTATGAAAATGCCATGGAGTTCTGTTGTTTGAAAGGAAACTCATGCATCGAAGAAGGAGAAGAGGTGCAAGCCAAGGGAATGCGTAATATATTCAACAAAATAATAACGGAAAATTTCCCAAATCTAGAGAAAGATATTCCCATACAAATGCAAGAGGCCTCCAGGACACCAAACAGACCAGATCAAAATAGAACTACTCCACGACATATCATCATTAAAACAACAAGTTCAGAAACTAAGGAAAGAATATTGAAGGCTGCAAGAGAGAAAAAACAAGTAACATACAAAGGTAAACCCATCAAAATCACAGCAGACTTCTCAACAGAAACATTAAAAGCAAGAAGAGCGTGGGGTGAGATCTTCCGGGCACTGAATGAAAATAACTTCAACCCCAGGATACTCTACCCAGCAAAGCTATCATTCAAAATAGATGGAGCAATAAAAGTCTTCCATGATAAGCAGAAACTAAAACAATATGTGACCACAAAGCCACCATTACAAAAGATTCTGCAAGGGATCCTGCACACAGAAAGTGACACCAACTTAACCATGAAAAGGCAGGCAGCACCAAACCACAGGATAAGAAAAAGCAAGACAGTAGAGAGTAACATCAAGTTAGGTACACACAATCAAACCTTCAAACAACTAAGATAACTAAATGGCAGGAATCACCACATACCTATCAGTACTAACACTTAATGTTAATGGACTTAATTCACCCATCAAAAGACACCGTTTGACAAAATGGATTAAAAAAGAAGATCCAACAATTTGTTGCTTACAGGAGACTCATCTCACCGACAGAAATAAGCATATGCTTAGGATGAAAGGCTGGAAGAAGATTTACCAAGCCAATGGCCCCCGAAAACAAGCAGGAGTAGCAATACTTATCTCTGACAAAGTAGACTTCAAACCTACATTGATCAAACGAGATAAAGAAGGACATTCCATACTAATAAAAGGGGAAATAGACCAAAAGGAAATAATAATCATCAATCTGTACGCACCCAATGTCAACGCACCCAATTTCATCAAACATACCCTGAAAGACCTAAAAGCATATATAAACGCCAACACAGTGGTTGTGGGAGACTTTAACACCCATTATCATCAATAGATAGGTCATCCAAACAAAAACTCAATAAAGAAATCCAAGATCTAAAATATGCAATAGATCAAGTGGACCTAGTAGATGTCTACAGAACATTTCATCCAACCTCTACACAATATACATTCTTCTCAGCAGCCCATGGAACCTTCTCCAAAATAGATCATATCCTAGGGCACAAAGCAAGCCTCAGCAAATATAAGAAAATAGAAATAATACCATGCATACTATCTGACACAATGCAGTAAAAGTAGAACTCAACAACAAAAGTAAAGACAAAAAACATGCAAACAGCTGGAAACTAAATAACTCATTACTTAATGAAGAATGGATCATCGATGCAATAAAAGAGGAAATTAAAAAGTTCCTGAAGTCAATGAAAATGAAAACACAACCTACCGAACCTATGGGACACAGCTAAGGCAGTCTTGAGAGGAAAGTTTATAGCCATGAGTGCATATATTAAAAAGATTGAAAGATCCCAAATCAATGACCTAATGATACATCTCAAACTCCTAGAAAAACAAGAACAAGCAAATCCCAAAACAGAAGGAGAGAAATAATAAAAATAAGAGCTGAAATCAACGAAATAGAAACCAAAAAAACCATACAAAGAATTAATGAAACAAAAAGTTGGTTCTTTGAAAAAATAAACAAGATCGATAGACCCCTGGCAAACCTGACTAAAATGAGGAGAGAAAAAACCCAAATTAGTAGAATCAGGAATGCAAAAGGGGAGATAACAACAAACACCATGGAAGTCCAGGAAATCATCAGAGACTACTTTGAGAACCTATATTCAAATAAATTTGAAAATCTAAAAGAAATGGACAGATTTCTAGATACATATGATCATCCAAAACTGAACCAAGAGGAAATTAATCACCTGAATAGACCTATAACACAAAATGAAATTGAAGCAGCAATCAAGAGTCTCCCCAAAAAGAAAAGTCCAGGACCTGATGGATTCTCTGCTGAATTCTATCAGACCTTTAAAGAAGAACTGATACCAACCCTCCTTAAACTGTTCCATGAAATAGAAAGGGAAGGAAAACTGCCAAACACATTTTATGAAGCCAGTATTACACTTATCCCAAAACCAGGCAAAGACACCTCCAAAAAGGAGAACTATAGGCCAATCTCCTTAATGAACATTGATGCAAAAATCCTCAACAAAATAATGGCAAACGAATTCAGCAACACATCAAAAAGATTATTCACCACGACCAAGTAGGCTTCATCCCAGGATGCAGGGGTGGTTCAACATACGAAAATCAATAAACGTAATAAACCACATTAACAGAAGCAAAGACAAAAACCACTTGATCATCTCAATAGATGCAGAAAAAGCCTTTGATAAGATCCAACATCATTTCATGATAAAAGCTCTAAGAAAACTAGGAATAGAAGGAAAGTTCCTCAACATTATAAAAGCTATATATGACAAACCTACAGCCAGCATTATACTTAACGGAGAAAAATTAAACCATTCCCTCTAAAATCAGGAACCAGACAAGGATGCCCACTATCTCCACTCCTATTCAACATAGTACTGGAATTCCTAGCCAGAGCAATTAGGCAAGAAGAAGGAATAAAAGGAATACAAATAGGTAAAGAAACTGTCAAAATATCCCTATTTGCAGACGACATGATCCTATACCTTAAAGACCCAAAAAACTCTACTCAGAAGCTTCTAGACATCATCAATAGCTATAGCAAGGTAGCAGGATATAAAATCAACATAGAAAAATCATTAGCATTTCTATACACTAACAATGAGCAAACGGAAAAAGAATGTATGAAAACAATTCCATTTACAATAGCCTCAAAAAAAATCAAATACCTAGGTGTAAACCTAACAAAAGATGTGAAAGACCTCTACAAGGAAAACTATAACTTCTGAAGAAAGAGATTGAGGAAGACTATAGAAAGTGGAGAGATCTCCCATGCTCATGGATTGGTAGAATCAACATAGTAAAAATGTCTATACTCCCAAAAGTAATCTACATGTTTAATGCAATTCCCATCAAAATTCCAATGACATTCATTAAAGAGATTGAAAAATCTACTGTTAAATTTATATGGAAACACAAGAGGCCACGAATAGCCAAGGCAATACTCAGTCAAAAGAACAATGCAGGAGGTATCACAATACCTGACTTCAAACTATATTACAAAGCAATAACAATAAAAACAGCATGGTACTGGCACAAAAACAGACATGAAGACCAGTGGAACAGAATAGAGGATCCAGATATGAAGCCACACAACTATAACAACTTATCTTTGACAAAGGAGCTAAAAATATACGATGGAGAAATAGCAGCCTCTTCAACAAAAACTGCTGGGAAAACTGGTTAGCAGTCTGCAAAAAACTGAAACTAGATCCATGTATATCACCCTATACCAAGATTAACTCAAAATGGATCAAGGATCTTAATATCAGACCCAAACTCTTAAGTTGATACAGAAAGAGTAGGAAATACTCTGGAGTTAGTAGGTATAGGTAAGAACTTTCTCAATGAAACCCCAGCAGCACAGCAACTAAGAGATAGCATAGATAAATGGGACCTCATAAAACTAAAAAGCTTCTGTTCATCAAAAGAAATGGTCTCTAAACTGAAGAGAACACCCACAGAGTGGGAGAAAATATTTGCCAACTATACATCAGACAAAGGACTGATAACCAGAATATACAGGGAACTTAAAAAACTAAATTCTCCCAAAACTAATGAACCAATAAAGAAATGGGCAAGTGAACTAAACAGAACTTTCTCAAAAGAAGAAATTCAAATGGCCAGAAAACACATGAAAAAATGCTCACCATCTCTAGCAATAAAGGAAATGCAAATTAAAACCACACTAAGATTCCACCTCACCCCTGTTAGAATAGCCATCATCAGCAACACCACCAACAACAGGTGTTGGCGAGGATGCGGGGAAAAAGGAACCCTCTTACACTGTTGGTGGGAATGTAGACTAGTACAACCACTCTGGAAAAAAATTTGGAGGCTACTTAAAAAGCTGGACATCGATCTACCATTTGATCCAGCAATACCACTCTTGGGGATATACCCAAAAGACTGTTACTCCAGAGGCACCTGCACATCCATGTTTATTGCGGCACTATTCACAATAGCCAAGTTATGGAAACAGCCAAGATGCCCCAGCACTGACGAATGGATTAAGAAAATGTGGTATCTATACACAATGGAATTTTATGCAGCCATGAAGAAGAACGAAATGTTATCATTCGCTGGTAAATGGATGGAATTGGAGAACATCATTCTGAGTGAGGTTAGCCTGGCCAAAAGACCAAAAATCGTATGTTCTCCCTCATATGTGGACATTAGATCAAGGGCAAACACAACAAGGGGATTGGACTGAGCACATGATAAAAGCTAGAGCACACAAGGGAGGGGTGAGGATAGGTAAGACACCTAAAAAATTAGCTAGCATTTGTTGCCCTTAATGCAGAGAAACTAAAGCAGATACCTTAAAGCAACTGAGGCCAATAGGAAAAGGGGACCAGGAACTAGAGAAAAGGTTAGATTAAAAAGAATTAACCTAGAAGGTAACACCCACGCACAGGAAATCAATGTGAGTCAATGCCCTGTATAGCTATCCTTACCTCAACCAGCAAAACCCCTTGTTCCTTCCTATTATTGCTTATACTCTCTCTACAACAAAATTAGAGATAAGGGCAAAATAGTTTCTGCTGGGTATTGAGGGGGGGAGCGGGAGGGGGTGGAGTGGGTGGTAAGGGAGGGGGTGGGGGCAGTGGGGAGAAATAAACCAAGCCTTGTATGCACATATGAATAATAAAAAAAAAAAAGAAAGGAAACTCATGTTCATTGTGCTGTTGTCCTTTTGCATTATTCTCATTCTCTCCTCATTAATAGAACAGACATTCTCGTCGCACATCCTGGAACCAATAGAAGAACTCTCAGAGGAAGAGAAAGGTAATGAAGGGCTTGACCAGGGTTTACCTGCATAGATGATATTTATATGCTAAAACCCAGGCCTTAAAAAGTGTGAGCCAGTCATTTATATCATGCTTTGTCAGAACTTGGGAAGACATTTTCCACCTAGATATGATTTTTTTAACCTTATTCCCCTCGTATTCTATTATGCTTTTCCTTGCTTTACTGCATTCTTAGGCAGATAGATTAATAAAGTTTCCTATGTCAGGGAACTTGAAGACAAAAAGTCTTTATTTCAATACACATATTTTCTGATTGAGTGATAAGCTGACACATGTGTTGTTGATCAGATGATATGAAAATACTTGTAGTAGAGTGGGGGTGTCTCATACCTAAATCTGAAATGATTGAGTAATGTGCCCATTTCCAAATTACTCTTACTTTACATTTTTTATTTATGTTTTTGTGGTGCTAGGGATTGAACCCAGGGCCTCATGCCTCATGGTAGGTAAGCTCCCTACCAGTTAGCCATATCTGTAGTTCCCAAATTATCTTTAATATAAAAAAGCATAATGCCTAAACCCTGAATGTGGGCTATGTATATGCAAAATAATACATTTTTTTAACGGTAGAATTTGGAGATGTTACAGGTTTGGGGAGGTAATTAAAATTATTACTGCTTACTGTATCAGTTGTGATTTTTAAAAATTATTTTCTACCAATTTTTGGAGTTTATGAAAAAAATGTAATTATAGTGAGTATTTTCTAAAGCTAGACTTGTAGATTCTGAAAACCCTTGTTTGAATCAATTTATCATGAATTTTTTCCTTATTAATAATAATACTTTACCATTTGTCACTTCCCTTTTTTTTTTTTCTGGTCCCCTTCTCCTATTGGCCTCAGTTGCTTTTAAGGTATCTGCTTTTAGTTTCTCTGCGATAAGGGCAACAAATGCTAGCTAATTTTTTAGGTGTCTTACCTATCCTCACCCCTCCCTTGTGTGCTCTCGCTTTTATCATGTGCTCATAGTCCAGTCCCCTTGTTGTGTTTGCCCTTGATCTAATGTCCGCATATGAGGGAGAACATATGATTTTTTGGTCTTTTGGGCCAGGCTAAACTCACTCAGAATGATGTTCTCCAATTCCATCCATTTACCGGCAAATGATAACATTTCGTTCTTCTTCATGGCTGCATAAAATTCCATTGTGTATAGATACCACATTTTCTTGATCCATTCCTCAGTAGTGGGGCATGTCATTTCCTTTTTTTTTTCCTCATTTTTTAGCATATATTTGTTGTACAAAGGGGTTCCATTACATTGTCTACAATGCACACAATGTACTCCAATAGAAACCCATGTCCTCCTGCCCTCGCCCTCACCCCCCTGAGCCTTTCTGGGAATAAATTCAACAGGTTTCATTGTTCAGTTTTCATATGTGTGTATAGAATTCTTGGACCATATTCACCTCTCTTCTCACCATCCCCCCTCCCAACAGTACCTGTTTTTCCCTCTTCTCATCCATTTTTAAGGACCAGATTCCACAATCAAATATCACTTCTTTGGGAGAAAGCTAATGATAATATATATGGGTTCTGAGTTTGTCATTTTGTCAGGAAGAGAGGTAAAATAATATAATTCTACTATGGAAGTTAATATTTCCTAGAATTCCTTCCGTGTTCTGTAGAATTTTACCAAATTTTTCTTTTTACAAAGTTAAAAATTGAGAATTGACTACATCAGGCACATTCATTGTAGCTACATGATGTACATGAAGTCTTGGTGAATCACTAATACTTTTTGACATCTTTAGTGAGGTTTGTTTATTTTGCTTCCACATATCTTTTCCATTTGTCCTGACTTTCTATATATTAGACTACTTTAGAATTTCATATCTTCCTGTCCAGAGAGTTGCTTGCTCATAGTTGGCACTGATTCTGAAAAGTTTTATTTTCATTGCTTCATTTCTTTCATATTTCTTTATAGCTGCTGTGCCAATGTTTGGAAACCTGTTTCTTTCAGAAACAAGAATGGAGATACATGAAACTATAACAAAACCATGCACAGTTGTTGAGGGGAAGTTTAGAGGTGTTCTTATGAGCATACTTTTAAAAGATACTGTCACTCTCTTACAGGAAGCTTACCTTGTTGCATTGTCAGGGAGAGGATGGGGCTGGGAGTGAATCATTAGCAATTACTTCCTGCAGCCTTAGGCGGCCACAGTCTCCGTGTGGAAGGTAAGGTCTGCAGGCCAAATCTATTCCACAGATTTAAGAGTTGCTTGAGCAACAAAACTGGCAACTATTTTGCAATCTGTTGCCAGCATTTGAAAATCAAAATAGTTCACACAAATATCCTAATTCTAACCTCTTGGAAGAAAAAGAGAGAACCCTGGGCACACTGCTCCCTTGGCAACCTTCAGGAGGGCTGTGAAGGTAGTCACGTGATCCCTGGCTCCGTGTTGCTTTGTAGACAGGTGAAAAGGGCTTAGAAACATGTATGTAAGCTGTTTTCATTGATCTCTGTTGGTTCCTTGGACATGGGATGAGCAAATCTTACCTATTTCAGTTCTGAATATTGACAGTCATCACTTTACTTACTAGTAACGTACTTCCTCTTTTCCTACACATGTATCACTTATCATATGCAAGACATAAAATCTTTATTCTTTGAAGAATCTGGAAAATGTGTCAGGAGGTTCATAGAAAGGGTCACATCATTTCAAAACTGAAACTTCAGGTCATTTAGTTCACACATTTAAAATCAAGTCAGCCAGGGCTCCAGGAGGAATCAAAGTTACTCCACCTTCACTAGGATAGTTTTTTGACTTTCAGTTCTGTGTTCCATCCACTGCATTACTCTGCCTGTGCTTTCAGAGTTCTTCTGCCCAACATAAGACAAGAGTTTGGGATAATTATCAACAAATGTTATCATTGGGTGTTGTCATATTGGCACCGAAATTACCAGCACTGGCTGTTGGGAACTGGACTCAGAAAGAAAATAATATTTGCTACCCTCCATGTGTTCAGACACAGCTCTGATGGGAAACGAGAGAATGCGGAGGACCACAGAAACGCCCCCAGGGTCCAAATGCTACAGAAACCAGGGATCGTATTCTAGCACCTCTGTGGACTCAGAAAGCTGGCAGCATATTAATTGCCATCAGTAAATTCCTCGGCTGTGCTAACATTTTGCAGATAAATGCTGGTGGAGCTAAATTTTGGCAGTGGTTTACAAAACCACTGGCCATTACTAGGAAATACTCAACACATGCTTATTTCTGTGTACTTGCCTTTTGACAGTTGTGTAGAGACGCATTTAACCTTGCTGTTTGAGGGGGTATTAGAGGATGAGGATCAGAGTTCTCAGAGGCCATCTTAGCTTTCAGAAACTTTAAACACGGAGCTTAGAAGCCTGCTTCAGGTTGTTGAGTTTAATTAGTGACCAAGCAGGGTGGCTCCTGACTGTAATCCTAGCTGCTGCGGAGGTGCATCAGGAGGATCTTGGTTTGAGGCCAGCTGGGCCAAAAGTTAGGGAGAGCCTATCTCAACCACTAAAAATAGAGACAGCCTATCTCAACCACTAAAAAGTTGGGTGTGGTGGGACACCACAAGTTGTCATTGGGGTTGAGTTGTCATTGGTGGACAGGGTGTTCATGCCTGTCATCCAAGCTAGAAGGGAAAGTGTAAATAGAATGACTGAGGTCATGGCTGACCTGGGTTTAAACGCAAAACCCTATTTGAAAAATAACTAAAGCATAAAAGCTGTGGCTCAAGTAATAGAGTGCTTGTCTAGCGAGTGTAAGGCACTGAACTTAAACTGCAGTACCGCTCCTCCCCCCCCAATTTTTTTTTTTATTACTTGCTTTGTACTGCAGTTACTTATTTATCATAAAAAGTCAGTTGTGTGTCTGGTATAACTGGCCACACATGTGGACTAGTCTGCAATTTTTTTTTGTTTTTTTGCAGTACTGGGATTTGTACTTAGGGCCTCCACCTTCAGCCACTCCACCAGCCCTTTTTTGTGTTGGGTATTTTTGAGATAGGGTCTCTCGAACTATTTCCCCAGGCTAGCTTCGAACTGTGATTCTCCTGATCTCTGCCTCCTGAGTAGTTAGGATTACAGGTGTGAGCCACCAGTGCCCAGCTCATTTTAAAATGCTTATTGGAAGAAAAGTCAGTCTCTAGAAAGTTTTGTCTTGGTCTTGGTGAACAATAATTGCTTTACCTAAAGTCTTCACATACATTGGATTTTCATATTATTATTTTTCTCTCTGTCCACTCTCCATTCTTTCTCTTGCTTCCATTGGCCAGCCTTGAAAGAATCTCTCTACCAAAGGTTTTCTGATTACTCATGAGTGGCTTCCCAAAGCAATCGCCAGCATATAAAGTGGGTTTGAGGACAAAGGGAAATGTTTAATCTGCCATAATTTGGGAACTTGGCCATGAACATGAAGTTGTTATTGAGGTTGAGGGTGACCTCAGATACATTAGCAAATGAACATAGTGGCTGGGTGTTCATTTGCTATCAAAAGCTGAGACTCTTCTAAAATATGACTGAGCTGAAGTCATTGCTTGACTTCTGTATGTGTGTGACTTCCCCATGTCCCACAGCAAAAAGAACCCAGAGCCTTTGTTTAGGCTGTGCTTCTGTGTACTTCCTTTTATATTCGCAATACTAGCCAAAAATTATCTTTGCGTAAGCAGGGTAAGGAGTGAATCCGTTTCAGTGGTAGCACCAAAACTTCCAAGCTCTCTCTACGTGCCTTTCAAATTTTTAACCCCTAGGTTTCTGCACACCTGACCAGCTAGACAACAAAGCCACTTAGTTATAGTGGCTCCAGCTAAGCTCTCTAGAGTTTGGTGGATTGTCAGTTTCTAGGGCAGAAGTGCTTTTTTTGGATGGTTTCAGAATTTTCAAAAATATGAGTGGTGAGTCAGCAGCATGAATGCTCAGAATATAAAATTTAAGATGACTTCTGACTTTTAATCATATAATCATATGCAACTTGATCATTTCAGCTTAGCACGCTGGAATAGCAGAGTATGGAAAAGGATCTTCATGAAGGAGCTTTTTCTTCTACATCTAATGTACAAATAGTAATTTGACTAATTTTGCTTCCATTAAAACTTTATTAATGTGACAGAAGTATGCTTTAGAGTCAGAATTGTACTGATGTTTGGAAAACATCTTCAATGAAAGGCATTTTGTTCAAGCTCTTCTGCAAATCCCATCTTCTGAGGTGGACGAGGCAATAGAAGAAGGGAGTGTTTCTTAGGGCTAGTCTGTGGCCTTTGTTGGATGATTTGACTCCAGAGTGAGAGTACAGTTGTCAAATTTCTCCTGGATCTGGCTTTGAACATTTGCTAAGGGTTTATCTTGCCAAATATTGGGTCTCTTTTGGGCAGAAAGACTCAGACTTTTTCAGGTCAGGCCTTTAATTCCCTTTTCTAAGCTCTCTTGAGCTAGACATGTTCTAGGATGGGCTGGGGGGTGTATTCAGGTAGAGCTCCTGCTTAGTATGTGCCAGGCCCTGGGTTCAGTCCTCTGTACCACAAAAAGAAGAAAAAAAATGTGAGAATATGACCTGCCAAGTTTTTTGGGGGGTTTGATTTGGTTTCTTTGTTTTTAATTTTATGTTGTTTGAAACAAAATACATCCTTCTTAAGACTTTTCCCAACCTCCCTTTTCATTTCAGTAGATATTTTGAGGAGATCATAGTTATCACATTTTGAAATTTTATATGCATTTAGCTTCTACTAAATTAAATATTTTAAGACTTGGAAAAATTGAGATTTTCTGCATACAATGATGTATGCAGAACTGAACTTAGAGGTGAATTTTTTGAGAAATAGTGATAGAGTTCTGTGACAAAGACTTAAAATTCTTATTGTTTTCTGTGATGCTTCTATCGTTTCTTAAATTGTTTAGCTGTGATTCAGTTGAGCAATGAAGAGTCTTTAAGTATGCTGAAGTGTTGAAGCAGACTTAAAATAGTTTTAGAAGCCACACTGTTCTTAAGCATTATATATTCTGGTGAAGGACTAAAATATCCAAAAACTTAAACGTTACAAATGCTTACTTGCTGTTTTAAAATTGTGTTTTGCCATTTTCTGCTTGGAGATTTAATATGCTCGCTTCATTCTCTTTTTAATCCACTTTTAAAACTTTACTTCAGGAAGGGAAAATGAACAGCAATTAAATAAGAAAACACATTTAAGGAAAACTTTGAAGACTAACCCCTCCTTCACTAAGGAAATCAGAGCCATCTTGGAACAGAACTTGGTGAAGAAACTGGAGACCCTGGGGATTAATGCAGTACGTTCATTCATTTTTGTAATCTTTGCTAGTTCATTATATTTTGTTTTCTCAATCAGGAAAGATCAGAGAAGAGAAGAAAGCTTGTTAGCTCTGTCCACGTTTGGAGGCCAGGGGTTAATACAACTCAGCTAGCAGACCCCTGGACGACAGTCACTGGTGCATTTCGAAGATCTTACCAAATACTAACTTATTTAAACGTAGAAATAAGTCTCTGAGGGGAGGGATACAAAAAAGAAAAAAAGAAAGAAATCTCTAAAATAAGTGACTTTATTATCTCATAGAAAGGTTAAGTAACTTGGTAAAGGTCACAGTTAGTAATTGTCTTGGAGGTCACAGTGCAGCTTACATTCTGATTAACCCGAAATCATTGCCTACCATGGAATCAGCACATAGCAAATGCTTGTTGAATGAACGAGTGGATGAATTATATTCTAGCTTGTTACCAGATTGAGTAATTTCAGCATATTGTATATATAAACTGTGTTTTTTACACTTTTTATTGGTATACATAAAATGCATGAATCTTAACAAATTGATGAATTAAATACATGTGCCTTCCTAGGCCTGTGTGCACATACATGCAAAACTGTGTGAATATGTATATGTTTACACATACGTGCATGGGGACACACATGTCGGCATGAATATACATGTATGTTTGTGCATTGTGTGCATGTGTCTTCATTGCAGATGAATGTGTGCAAATAGGTGTACGTATATATGCATGTGCAGATGTGTGTGTACAGATCTCTGTATATATGGTGGATATATATGGATATGGATGTGTACATGTGAGCATTTGCGTGTAAATATGTGTCCATACATGTCTTTGTGTTTATGGATGTATGTATGAGTACACGTGAATGTGTGGATGTGGGCATATTTTGTATGTACACACTTATACTTGTGTGCCTATGGGTTTATATGGATATGGATTTATGTGTGTGTGATCTGTAATCAGAACCAGATGACAAGGTTGGACATTTCTAACACCCTAAAAAGACCCCCTTTACCTGTTCCTAATCACTGTCACCCACACTCTGCAACCAGAGGTGACAGGTATCGTGACTGAGTTTTGCTTGTTCTTGGACTTTATAGAAGTGGAATCATGTACTGTGTAGTATTTTATCTTCTTTTGCTTATGATTTTGTCTGTGTGCTTTGTACCTGTAGTTTCATACAGCAGTGGTGTGTTCTTTGTATACGTTCAGTATTCTATTGTGTGAATGTACTGTAGTTTATCTCTTTCCTAGTTGATGGACATGTAGGTTTCCAGCTGGGCTCTTCTTAGCTATTAACTTTTGTACGTGTCCTTTGTTGGACATAGGGCGTCCATCAAAATATATATCTTTTTCTTGGGTATGTATCTAGGAAGGAAGTTGCTGGATCAAAGGGAGGCGTGTGGTTAGTATAAAACTACTGCCAGATAGTTTTCTAGAACGCACCAATTTCCACTCGCCCTCACTGTGCACGGGAAGGAGCTCAGTTGCTCCACATCTTTTAGCAACTCTTAGCATTTTCAGTCTTTAATTTCTACAGAGACTCTTCAGGTGGGTTTCCACCATCCTTAGGACATTCATGGAATGTCCCTAGTTCCTATGCAAATTGTTATTTGGAACTAGTTTTTCATTTTCATGTTCCTTGTTTGCATATGGTTTCTGGGTTTTAATTTTTATTGGGACATTTCCTTTATTCTAGGAGTGTAATAAAAACAGTCTGTAATTTCCCCTAATGCTTGGAGAGGGTTTTTTTTTTTTTTTTTTTTTGCTTGTTTCCTGGTTTTGTGTTTGTTTTGCGTGTATCTGGGCTACAAGAATTAGGTTTAGACACTGTGACTTAGGAATCTAACTTTATTACCAGTTGGAGCAGTTGTTCCAGTGTCTTTGGTTAAATAATCCATCCTTTGCCATTTGTTTGAAATGATGCTTTTATTATGTAGGAAATTCCTAAATACATTTGAATTTGTTTTTGGACTTCTGGCTGTCTTACCCTCTTTTCTTACTTTTTTTTGCCAGTATCCTGCTGGTTTAATTGCAGTAACTGTCATATATTTTATTTTTTTCATATATTTTAATATTTTCTAAAGCACATGCTTTTTTGGAGGGACTGGGGTTTGAACTCAGGGCTTCTTCACATTTACAAAGCAGGTGCTCCACTGCTTGAGCCGTGCCTCTAGTCCATTTTGCTCTGGCTATTTTGGAAATGGGTGTCACAAACTATTCACTGACCTCAAAACACAGTCCTCCAGATCTCAGCCTCCCAAGTAGCTAGGATCACAGGTGTGAGCCACTGCACCTAGCTAGCATGTGCCTTCATTTTTTGTGTGGTACTGGGGTTTGAACTCAGGACCTACACCTCGAGCCACTCCACTAGCCTTTTTTTGTCATGGGGTTTTTCAAGGTAGGGTCTCATGAACTATTTGCCTTGGCTGGCTTCAAACTGTGATCCTCCTGGTCTCTGCCTGGTCTCTGAGTAGCTAGGATTACAGGCGTGAGCTACCAGTGCCTGGCTAGAATTTTTAAGTGATGAACTCACATGCCTTCTTTATTTATTTTCTTACTTCAAGGTTTTCTGGCAGTTCTACATTTTTTGTGAACTTTAGAAAAACATCCCTAGTTCCAGAATAACCCGTTGAGTTTCTGATTGAAATTGCGTTAAACGTTGTATCTTAGTGAGGAAGGACTGACGTGGGTATAGTGGTGGGCCCTTCCATCCAGTTACAGAATACAGAAAGACAGCACTAAGTGGCTGGTCACAGAGACAGATGGCAGATCTCTGGTGAGAGATTGTATCCAGTGAACTGAAGGAAACGTAGGGACATCGAGCAAGCAGCTGAGATCAGAGAAAACTTCTTAGAGGTGGCAGCACTTAATCTGGTGACAGATTTGTGTCCTGGGCAACTGGGTGGGGAGGTGGGGCTACTCCCTGGGATGGGGAAGACTTGAAGGATGGGGGGAGGGGCAGGGGAAAATGGGACTAAAGATGGGAGACTGGTTTGTGTGTGAGACACTGTTGTTAAATAAGTAGCCCTTTAACTAGCTTTCTTCTGTCTAGATTCCCATCAAACCCAGATTATTTTTCTCAGATCACCTCTTTAAGTAGGCTAGTTACATAATGGAAAGTCACCTCTGATGACTTTCTCTTTCCTATGGAAGGTCCTTGAAATTTTTGTGTTGGCTTTTAGCCTCCTTTCCTGGTCTTAACCACCCAGGCCTTTATAAGAATAGCCTACTGGACACATTCTGACTCTTTCTGACCCAATGCCTGTCTTTCCCATGGAGAATCCCTGCCCCGGTGCCTACTCATGTAGAAATTCTCCTTGTTTCTTACTTGTTTGACTCCACCCCTCTATCAGGGCACAGCTCAGCCTCTTTGCTTCAGTCTTCTCTGGCCTCTGTGGCTTCTGATGGCCTCTCTCCCTGAAAGTCCTATAGCCTGGGTGGACTCATTTGGCCCTTATCACACAGCCTAGTATCATTGATCAGCAGTCGTAAACATTCAGACACACACTCACTGTGCCTGGCTGCACTGAGCCTGGCTCACTGTGCCTGGGGTTGGGCAGAGTATTCTATGCTGGGATATTCCCCACTTCCTGGAGCCCAGGAAGGATGGATTGAAGCATTGGTGACATACCCACAAAATGGAAAACATCCCAAGATAAATGATTAACTTCGCATCTTATTCTTTTAGAACATACGGGGTATTCCAAGTGATCACTTGAATAGAGTGCTTAGAACCGTGGAATTAGGAAGACATGAGCAAGAAAGAAAAATACCAAACATTCAGCAAATTCGGGAATCCCTTGAACATCAGGTCAGCTGTAAAATTGAGGAGAAAGCATTCCTGTCTTCAGGTGAGTTTCTTACTGCCTGCTAGTTCTTTGCTGGAGATGAAAACTTAATTTAACAACTTTTTCAATATGGTTTACAAACTTCAGTGCTTTATTGGCAACTCTCATACTATTTGTACTGTAATTGCTGGGGTTGAGTTTCGTTTTATATTTTAAAAAGTCAGGAGTCTGGATTCTAGACCTTCAAGACAGGCTTATTCACTTCCATGGTATTGTACTACTTAGTTTTGCTTTTCACTTACAGTAAGGCATTAGAGACTCATGAATGCCACTACTATTCCAGATAAATACAGCATTCCTCAAATGGACACATTTTCAGCTGGAGAAATACCCAAAGCAATCCAGCTTCCTCCCAAAAGCAAACCATTGGTTAGACAAAGACCTGTTTTTACTGAGAAGGCAGCTGTTCCAAAGTGAGTATTTTCTTTTCTTTTTGGCGGTACTGGGGTTTGAATTCAGGGCTTCATGCTTGCTAGACAGGCACTCTACACTTGAGCCACTCTTCCAGTCTGTAGAGTGAGTATTTTCATCCCTGAAATTTTTTTTGTTGTTTATCTTAGCCAGATTGGGCTGCCATAGCATTTTAGTGTAGACTGGGTGACTTAAACAACAGAAATTTAATTTCTCACAATTCTGGGGGCTGGAAGTCTGAGATCAGGGTTGGCAGTAAGATCAAGTTTTATTGAGGGCTCTTAATGCCTTGCAGACAGGTCTTTCACTTTGCCCTTACATGGCAGAGAGCAAGCTCTAGTCTCTTCCTCCTCTTAAAAGGGCCCTAATCCCATCATGGGAGCCCCATCCCATAACCCCACCTAAGCAATTACTTCCCAAAGACCCTCAACCATCAGATAACATCACACTGGGGATCAGGCCTTCAGCATGTGCATTTGGTGGGTTGCTAACACGAGTCTCTATCAGTGTGTCATGTCTGCAGTTCCCATGTAGTTTTTGGTTGACATTGAGAGACTTTTGTAACTCTCCTTCTTTAATACATACCAAAAGTAAAAATTCCATAACTCCATAGAAACTTATGTTAAACTATATTAATTTGCTTGTGCACTAAGAAATATTTTTGTTATTTTTTTTAGAAGTAAGAAAAATATCATAGACGATCCTTTTCCCAGAAAGGCTTCATCTATTGTGTGAGTACTGGTAGAAGTGGGAGGAATTTTTTAAATTCTTCTCATTGTAAATTAGCATGGTCATTGTTAACTGAAGCCATGGTGATTAATCATTGTGATTAATTTGTGATTCCTCTGTGATGGTGTGGTATTTGTGATGTGTCCGTTATGTAAATCAATAGCACTTAACCACTTTGTGGTCTCCATGAGGTCAGGGGATTACATCTGAGTTGTTCTCGTGTACGCCTCTCCAGTGTGGAATAATTTCTCAATAAGCACATTTAAATCAAGTGGATGGTGTTGAGTTTCAACTGCTGGTTATATGAGAGTCAGTTTCAGATGAAGTTTCAGTGTTCTAGCTCCTTATAAAAGTTGACAAGAACCCCAGACTTTAGTCTGTTGAGCTCTCTTTAGAATTCTTGCTCAGTCGCTCATCAACTGTGATTCAGTTGATTACTGCTTGAAGTCTCAATTTTCTTAAAAAATGTCAATAATATGGAATAAATACTGCCTTTTTCACAGGATAGTTTTACAAATTAAATAGGAGTATATGAAAAGGACTTAGCTCATTCAGTGCTTAGCACTTGTGATACTCAATAAATTGTAGGTACATTGTAGCTATTAATAATGCAGAATACTAATTTTCACTGTAATTTATCATAATTCCATCATTATTATCTGATTTTAGAGATATTGGAGCCATAAATCTCCCTTCTCCAGGGCATTGTATGGTGAATTGTGCTTCAGCTCCCAAAAGCGCTTTTCATGAGCATAACCTCATGGGAAGGGCTTTATTTCATGGGATGTACTACGACTGAATCAACATGTACAAGTCTAATAGGCGTATAGGTATATATTGGTATATAGATCCTCTATAATGAATGAACACTGCTAGGAACAGGGATGCAGCCAGGGGGCAGTGGCTCACGTGTGAAATCCCTGCTACTCCAGAGGCAGAGATCAAAGTTCAAGGCCAGCCCATATAAAAAGTTAGCAAGATCCTATTTCAAAAGAAAAGGTGGGCATGGTGGTGTAATTCCATCTACAAAGGATGTTTAGATAGGACGATCACAGCCCTAGGCAAAAACAAGACCTTATCTGAAGAATAGTCAGAAGGCTGGTGGAGTGGCTCAAGTGGTAGAGGGCTTGCATAGGCCCCAAGTTCACAACCCAGTACGACCAACTAAAATGGGGATAACCCATGTGAAAATACACATTAAAGTATGTATATAAATGCTTTCTTTAAGGTGCAGTATACAGGCAAGTTAAAGGTAATGACATTATTTTTTAAAAAGAGAGACACTGGTTTTAGTGTGGAAAATGTTTCCCTTTTGAATATTAAGAATATTAAGAATCCGTACATCTGAGCTGAGAGGAAGATGGTGGTAGCTTCAGTCCATTGTGGTCTAGGTATGGAATGTCCCCTGGGCCTTGATGCCACATAGTCTGTGGCCTCAGAGAAGTCCCTTCATGTGCTCTTGGAGTTACCCTGAGAGGGCTCGCTCCAGTGGTCGTGAGCCCTGACTCTTAAGGAGACAGCAGCTCTGTTTTGGTTCTGACTGGTGCAGGACACCTCCCTTCAGTTCTGAGGAAGAGCTGGATGAGGATGACTTCATCCAGGCCTACATGTCCCCAGACTTACTGCCCACGCAGCCATCTAAGAGCAGCAAGAGTGGCTTCGGAAAGAGCACCATCATAAGTGACACGGATGGGACCGAGGGAAGCGAAGTGGAGGACTCCGATGCCTCTTCTCCCAAGCCCACAGGTGAGCTTTGATCACCAGAAAGTTTTATTTAGGATAGTGGTCCCCACCTGGGGACACAAGCACTGGGTGTGCTCGAGGAAAGAATGCGCTCATCCAATGGTGCCCAGAAGGAAGGTGGGAGTGCCATCTTCAAACTGAGGGAGAGGACAGGACAGGGATGCCCTAGGGCATGAGTTCCCACCACTGCCTGAGGAAGTACCACAGACTAGGTGGCTTAAGCACAGAAGTTCATGGTGTCGCCATGTGGAGGCTGGAAGTCCAAGGTCAGGGTGTTGGCGGGGTTGGTGAGGAAAGGGTTTTTAACCTGGACCTCCATCGTAACTCTAGATGGCCAACTTGTCTTACACATTTTCATGTCATTCCCTCCCTGTCCCGATTTCCACTATTTATGAGGACATTGTTTGCCTAGGTCAGGGCCCACTCTTAATGACCTCACTTTAATTTAATTATCTCTTTACCCTGCCGCCATGTCAGGGTACATTCTGTGGTACTGGGGTGAGGATTTGATATGTGTTTTGAGGCGGCACAATTCACCGTAACACTGGGGAACTGGCACAATGGCTGCTCTCAGACACTGTGCTGCCTTTTGGAGGTGGAATAATTTTAAAGACAAGGTCTCAGTCTGTGTCTTCAGTAACTTGCTAAGAGAAGTGGAATCGACGAGTCATTTATTTTATTTTTTTATTCATTTATCCACATGTGCATACATTGTTTGGGTTATTTCTCCCCTGTGCCCCCTGCCCCCACCTTCCCCCACCTGTCATTTTTTTTTAAAAAGAAATTTTCGTTTCATGTAACTTTTTTAAATTACAGATTTTAAATGGGTTGGCCATAATTATTATACTATGTATGATTTGTACATACCACACAGTTGTATAATTATGTCAAGTTAACTAAATTCATTTAAAAATAACTCATTGATTTGGAAAAATATTCATTTAAATACCCATTCATACACATTACCTTGTTGAAATTAAATTTCTAACTATGTACTTAAATGAGACCCTCCTTGTCTGATTTAAAATGAAAACTTAATAGATTTGTACCTGAAGGATCATGATTTTTTTTAAAGGAGTTGTAAGTGTTTAACTTTTTCCCAACCCCAAAATACTTTGATGAATTTGTTTTAATAATACATAATTATGTGCAAAGTTGACTGTAAAGTTATTTTGGAACTGAAGATAGGTATAACTTATAAAAAGCTTTCCTTGACTAATTTCTATTGGCCCTCAAGGAACCTCCTTTAAAACACAGACTGAAAAAGTTGAAAAGATGGTCTCACAGCAGAGGAATGGGAGTAAGCCCGCTCCTGGGATGAATGTTCCAGACATGTTTATCAAAAAAGAAGAAGAAGAACTAAAGGTGAAATCACTTACTGGCTACACATACATTAGTTCCTCTTTTGATGAATATCCCCTAATAATAATGTTTAATGGTGAAATGTGAGACATGTGATTACTTAGTACAGTAGAAGTTGAGATTTTTACCTTATCTTGCTTTGGGTGTTGTGTTTCTTATCATTTCCACAGAGAATGAGAAGGTGCTGGAGTGATAACCTGGTGCAAGTTGTGTATCCCTAACCTGAAAATTCAAAATTTGGATTGTTCAAAAAACCCTAAACTTTTTTAAGCACCAGCATCACATTTAAAAAGTTTCTAGTTTTGTGGCTGAGGGTGTAGTTCTGTGGTAGAGCCTATGCTTAGTATGCACAAGGCCCTGGGGTTCAATCCCTAGCACCAAGAAAAAATAAGTTTGAGATTTTGGATCATTTTGGATTAATGATTTTCTGGATTAGGGATACTCACACTTATTTAGTAAAGTCTCTGCAAATATTCCCAAATCCAAAAGTCTGTAAAATTGGAAACACTTCTAATCCAACCATTGTGAATAAGCATTACTCAACCTATAATAATACATCATAAACAAATTACAATTTATAGATTTTTCAGAATTGTTATGTGTACTATTTGATGCTTACAGATATTAGATGACTTGTACAAAAAAAAAAAAAAACAACTTGTAATTGGTTAGGATCTGGGGCCTCCACATCCAGACTTTTCTGTTATCTTGGTGTGACCCTGAAGTAAAATAGGGACTTGTCAGCATCTCACCCTAGCTGGGTTGAGAGTTGAGGGCTTGGCAATCTCCTCTGCCTGCAGCAGACAGGAGGCCTAACCATTTTCTAAGTGGTTATAACACCCAGCAGGCCAGAGTGTGGATGGAGCCCCCCAGTTGTATTTCTGGGCAGCTTGTCTGTGTTGGCTGGGTCTTCCAATAGTAGTCATTCTTAATTTTTTCCCAAAACTTAGAATGAATTTCTACCCTGCTCATCTTTGGATCTAGGGCATTCCACCAAACTATTCTTATTATTTAGTGCTGTTTGTGCTAACACAAGCTAAAAATGACCAAAAGTCATGTGGCACTCGAGAGAGCTAAGGTGTCCTCCTTTGGACATGTGCTCTTTTTGGTGAGAGGCTGGTCCTGCCAGGCTCCTGTAGAGCTCTTATGTGATGTATGCTACCCTGCGGATCAGAGCTTCCTATCCTTACAATGTAGTGTTTCTGGAATTTTCTGAATTCATGATTGGTAAAGAAAAAAAAAAATATATATATATATATGTAATTTCCATGGCAGAAAACAAGTAAAAGGTGCTTCCTTCAACTCTCCAAACATAGACCTGCAAATCCATTTCACTGTCCTGTAGAAATGCCCAGATTTGGGATTCTCTGTCATTCCCAACTTCTCTTTGCATTCATTCAGTGTCAGCTACTCAGTCCCCATTACGTTTACTCTCTTGTGTATTTCTTCCTTTCAGTGCATAGATGTGGATGATGACGACTGGGACATATCATCCTTAGAAGAAGAAAAATCCTTGGGGGAAAAAAATGGGAAAGAACACAAGGAGCCTCCACCTGTGAAGAATGAACCAAATTCTACTCAAGTGCCAAGTGTCTGGGGTGCATTTATCCCTCGGCCGCCCAAGGGAGAAGGTCTGCTACTCTGGCTCTCAGTCCATTTTCTGATCAGTTGTGGTTCATTTTGATAAATACCTGCTTCAGTTATGCTGGTGTATCAGCAGGCAAAAACACATGACTGGGGGCTGGGGATTGAGCTCAGGGGTAGAGAGCTTGCTTAGCATGCTTGAGGCCTTGGCTTTCACCTCTGCAACCACACACGCACGAGTGCCCCGTCACACACCCATGCAAACCACTGTTGGTGTAACAAGGTCTTGATGCTTTATGTTATTTTAATAAGGTCTGAATATTTACAACTACTGATTTATGTATATTTACTGATCACTTTAATTTTTGGCCTAATCTTTCATTTAAAACTTTACACCAAGCACAGTGGTGCACACATGTAATCCCAGATTACATGGGGGGGTGTAAGTAGGAAGATTGCAGTCTAAGGCTGGCGGGAGCAAAAAGCACTAGACTCTGTCTGAAAAATACCTAAAGGCAAAAGGGGTGGAGCATGGACCAAGTGGGAGGGCTTCTGTCCAGAAAGTGCAAAGCCCCAAGTTCAAACACCAGTCCCACCAAAAAGAAAAAGATATGCTTTTTCAAAATATCCAGTTGTCTTCCTGTACATGTCTCATAGAAATTAAATTTTCTCATCTAGCTGGTTGCCAGTGAGTCATGCCTAAATCCTAGCTACTTGGGAGGCTGAAATCAGGAGGATTTCGGTTCAAGGCCGAAGTAGTTTGAGAGACCCCCATCTCCAAAATTACCACAGCAAAATGGACTGGAGGTATGGCTCAAGCAGTAGAGTGCCTGCTTTGTAAGCACAAAGTCACCCTGAGTTCAAACCCCAGTTCCACCAAAAAAATTCTCATCTACACCCAAATGAGATTATTCTTCTGGGAGCCTTCCTGTATTTCTTTCTTTCCTATTAAATGTTCTTCTTGATTTTCTTCCAAGGAAAGTGTTTCTTATACACATGTGAACTGCTTCCTGTCCACCTAGCCTAGAGCCTGGATAAGTCTAGTAGTTTACCTCTCAATAGATTGAATTTTTTAATTAGAAAAGTGTAGTTATATATATTTTGTTTGTTTGAGACAGAGTCTCATTTTCTAGCCCAGGCTGTCTTCAAACCCCCAGCCCTCCAGCCCCCACCTCTCAAGTGCTGACATTACAGGCATGTACCACCACACCTGGCTATAATTCAGGTTTTAGTTTTTTTTTTAATCAAAATAATTCTTGCACATAGTGAAAGTCAATTTGTACAGAGGGCTTTGCCATCCCATTTCTCGCTACCTTCAGTGCCTGGTGAGCACCCCATATCTCTCAGTAATGGACTTAGCTCTCTTTCTTGATTCACCAACTTCAGACATTAGCTGTTGGTGTCCTGCTAAGACAAAGAGAGGGCTTTGGCTCATTTTCACCCTCTGCTACATCTCTCATGCCTCCTCTTCACTATTTTTATACCTTATTTGTAATTTTTAATTAGTAAGTACCTGTAGGTTCCACATTTGCACTTTTCATTTTCAGCAGGATCTCTTGTGCCCCCTCTTCCCGTCCTTTTAAAATGAACCATTGCTGCCTTGAGGTCTTGGCTCTGTCATTGCTCTCTACCAGTGTGTCAGCTATGTATTTACTGTCAAATTGTAGAATAACATGACTGTCACATAACCATCATGAGGTTATCTGTGCTATCCATAGAGCAGCTTTAAAAGTTAAAAACCAAAAGACCATGTTTGTGTTTACAGCCCATCTTAAGGAACAGGGCCAAGAGGACACTCCAATGCCATGACCCTCTGTCACTCAGGCAAATGTCTATAGAGTCAAACAAATGACTCTGTAGTGCCCTATTTCAGTGGCTCAAAATCATGAAACTTTTTAAAATTGACCTCATATTTAAGTTAATCCACCCTAGCAAAACCCGTTTTTAACACTTACCTACTAAGTGTTAAACTTAGAGATTTGTGTTGACGTGTGGATATTAATTCTCTTTTCTTTACACATTTGTTCACTTAGAGTTAACAACAACACAAACCTACTGAGTACTTTCAGTATCCAGGCCCTGTGCCAGGTGCTGAACCAGGATGTGCCTCTCCTGCCCAGAAGTTACTGGGGTGCAGGACAGGGATCCTTGAGATATGGCCAGTTATGGGGGGCAAGGATTGCTCAGCAGAGCTGGGCACCGATGGCTCAGGCCTGTAATCCTAGCTACTCAGGAGGATCCTAGCTACTCAGGAGGATCAGGAGGATCATGGTTCAAAGCCAGCCTGGGTAAATATTTCCTAAGTCCCTATCTTGAAAAAAATCCATCACAAAAAAGGGCTGGAGGAGTGGCTCAAAGTGTAGGCCCTGAGTTCAAACCCCAGCACCAAAAAAAGGATTCCTCAGCAGATTCAGACACTGAATGATGAAAGACAGTATGAGAAAATGTCTTCACAATGTCCCTTTCTTTTTTCTTTTTTTTTTTTTTTTGTCAGCACTGGGGCTTGAACTCAGGGCCTTGCGCTTACTAGGCAGGCACTCCACCACTTGAGCCACTCTGCCAGTTTGACAATCTGCTTGTTTAACCACTGGGCCATTCTCTCTCTCTCCCTCCACAGGACTTCAAGAAAATGAATCGAGCACATTAAAAAGCAGCTTAGTAACTGTGACTGACTGGAGCGACTTTTTAGATGTATAACTTCAATTCCACATGTCAGAAGATTCTTCCAGAAGCCAGCAGCATTTCAGTAATGGCCTACCTAATTCTGACGCTCCTGCCTTACAGCCTCCCATCCCACAGTAACAAGGAAGCTGACTCAAAAGAACAAGGGTCTCTTTAATGGCACTTCATGCAGTATTGAAAAACAAATTGTCAACAGTATTTTGAAGCATATAAAGGTGTTTGACTTCTGCTGCTTAAAAATAAGGTATCTTTGAAGTCATAAAAAGTGTTTTCTTCAGAATGGTACTCTAGTGTTAAATGTATTTTTTTCCTACTAATTTTCAAGTGAAACAATTTTTTTTAACTTATAGCAGGTTTGGGTTTGAATTACTACAGTTTTATTTAAATATCTTTATGTAGTTTGGAAGTGTTTCTATTAACAAAATTCTGTACATATCCTTAAAATTGAATTAGTAGAATCAGTGAAATCCCAAGAGTTAGACTGGTTATTTTTCATATAGAAATTAAGTTTAGAATGCAAAGTTTAGCTAGGCCCGTGTTAAATACATTTTCCTAAAATACTCAATCATATTCAGCTTTGAGCCCCTAAAAGCATGTTGCTATGAAAGTTATTTTCTGCAGTTTAATAGTTACCATGGATATTTTGTGAATAAATGTAACTATTTTAAATGCCAATTAGTTTTATTAGAATACCAATAGAAAAGATTGAGCCATTGCTAAATCATGTGTGAATGTAGTTTTTCTTTTTTTTTTTATAATGCCCAACCCATATTATAAAATACCTCAAAACCAATTCAGTTATGTTCTTGAACAATGACCTTGTCAGAGGTCAAAAGTTCATATAAACTGAGGTGGGTTTTTTGCATTTTTTTTATACTTTGTGGTACTATTGGTACTGTTTCCCAAAACAGTAACATTTTAACTAAATGGTTTGTTGGGTTTTGGATCTCTTCTCACCTGTCAACCTTTCCAGTAAACCCTCCATGACATCATTGTGACTGTGGCTGGTTATTACAGATGATTTCTGAGCCAAATCCATCCAGGGACTTACTAATGGCCCAGCTTGCTCTAGGGGCCATGCCCTGCACCATCCCGACTTTAGAATAAACCCGGTTCTACTCTCTTCGGGGTTCTTTGCAAATATACCCATTCCAAACTTCTAAAAGTATTCTTCAAGCTTCCTGCAAGGGCTGTATTAATGTAACTTCAATTCCACATGTCAGAAGATTCTTCCAGAAGCCAGCAGCATTTCAGTAACAGCCTCCCTAATTCTAGCACTCCTGCCTTACAGCCTCCCACAGTAACAAGGAGACTGACTCAAGAGAACATACGTGTGTTTCTAAAAGATTTAATAAATGATGGATCAAACTTTCCTGTAGTAGGAGAGAGATGAGCTACTTACAAAAACACTGTGCCCAAGCTAGTCTGCAGGTCACTTTGTCCATTAGTCATTTCTTCCACAGGGACTGAGCCATGTGGTTTTGATCTGGTTTTTTTTGTTTGTTTGTTTTATTTTGTTTTGTTGTTTTTAAAATGTACTAGTTCATTTCTCTTTTTTTTTTTTTTTTTGGCAGTATTAGTTCATTTCTTAGAACACCTTTGGGATGTGGTCATTGTCATAATCTTCATCCTAAAGATGTTAGAAGCAGTACGGAGTAACTCACCAAGGGCTACACGGCTAGAAAGTGACCAGAGCAGGCTTTAAACCAGGTTTCTGTGCCGAGTCACGTGTCTGCCGTATGTTCATTCCTGGTTCAAAGGCTGGGGAAACATAACAACCTTCTCCTCAGTAAACCCAAGGTTTCAATTAGGTCAGAATGTCTGTGACACCAAAGCCCATCCTTTAACTTGTCTGTCTGGTCATATCACTTTTTCTACTTGTTTTGTTCCTTTTCCCTGGAACATTTTCTTATATTGCCCCTCCCTGATACCCAGCTAACACGTTTCTGGTCACTAGCAGAACTTTTCTGTACCTTCATCCCGTACCTCCCTCTAAATTCACTACAGTCTACATATTATCTTCACTAGCTCAGCTTTCAGTTAATTTTATTTTGTTTTGTTTTAAGTGTACACCCACACAACACTGGCCCCACGCTGGTCTGAAGCACACAACCTACCTTTCTATCTGTCAGTTTGCTAGTATCTCTGGAAAAAGGTATTTCAACTACTAACTTGGTATGGAGGGTTTTTTTTTTTTTTTAAACAAATCTGTTTGCTTTTCCTTCCTCCAAATAATGTGATTTTTCTTGTAATCATTCACAGTTCAGGAAAGTCATATTGACCCCTATGTAGTGATTCATACTGGACAATTTCCTACAGCTAACCCAGGCACCAGTTCTTACCCACAGCTTACACTGTCTCAGCCAAAATCTAGGTTCTGGTTCTGTCACTACCGTGGCAGGTTTCTTAAGGTCTCTGTTTTAATTCTCTTCTCTGTAAATGCAAGCTAATGAAAGTGCATATCGCATGGTGTACTGTGAGACAGAAGTGTGCCAGGGCACATAAGCATTAATGGTAGTAACTGTTGCCTTCCTGGGCTTGTTAGACATAGGGCTGGCCCCAGGAGATAATCTGTCTTTGTTGAGAAGTCACTGGAGCAACTTAACATGTCTTGCAAAGTCTCTGAATCACTCATATTCAGGACCTATGGGCTATAGAAGAACTGTGCCCACCAGCTCTCAAGGAGGCAGGTATGGTGCAAGGTTCCAGGACTTCCTTTATTGGCTTCAGAGTCAGCCACCAATGGCCACAGCTCTGCTGATGCTGATGCCTTGCTTTCTGTGGACTCTGCAACCTGTATTAGAGAAACCTACACAGTGACTTAAGGTGGATGTGCCACATGAAGGGGAATGGCAGCTTGGCACCAAAAACCCTTCCATGAGTTAGGAATGACAGTCCTGACAGAAGGGAGTAAAGGGAGTAAAGAAGTAGACAATTCTATGCAGCAGCAGAGGGACACTTGAGGAATAGCTCAGACTGTCTCCATACTGTCTATAAGCCACCATTCCTCGCATACTTCTGTTTCACATATGAATGAAGTAGGAATGGGGTCAAAGATCTCCATGCATGAAAGATCAAAAGTTTAGTACAAACCTTTGGTACTACATGCTTTACATTTTCTCTAAATATGTAAAATGTACAAATCCTGTAAATAACCTGTTTATTTTTTTAATAGAAAGCCACCATAGAAAGTGATTAGTACATAACTGTAACATTCATACAATCAACCAAGTCTTGAACTTCATCTTTTAAAAATAGTTTGAGTGTTAATTATAGAAGGGCCTTGACTGGAATCATTTTGAGAACAGTTCGCTTTTATAACAAACTCAAGATACAGCTTGCCAGCTGAGCTCTTTTAGACATAAGCATTTTTATCAAACTGTTTTGAAGAGTTTGTGGTTTTAAAATCTCCTTCTCCACCATGATACTTTGTCCGAGAAGACATGACAGACGTGGGTCCGTTGTATGTATACCCCATTCTGAAAGGCAAAACACAGTTTGGCAGATTTTGTTCAACACATAAGGCAAACAGAACTTGACACAAACCCATTTCTGTTGATAACTCAGTTTAAGACTTCCTCTTTGTTGTTGGCTTTCTTCCCTCCTCAGACCTTGAGACATAGTTCAGTGTTTCTGAGTAACTTTTGTTTGACAAAACAATCTCTGCAGAAGAAATTCATGGCTTATTCATTTATTTAGTTATTCTTTTTCAAAACTATTTTTTTAAAGCTCATCTTCCTGGAATCTGGGAGAATTAACAGTGACCTTTGTCAACAATTCCTGCCTATACAAAGAATTTAATAAGGCCAACACGAAGAACATGCCCTTATATTTAAGCTTGTATTTCTAACTGCAGAAATGGCTTTGGAATATTATAATGATAAGCTCTTAAAACAAAATGAGAAACTATTCCTGAATCCCATGAACTATCTAATTTGTTCCATATGTAATGTTTTAGGAGAGTATAGTGCTTTTTAACAAGTAGTTTTTGTCTCTTTTTCATACCTGGGTGTTTTGTTGTTTTCAGATATTGAAAAGCAAAATATGACACCACCAATTATGCAGAGTGAGGCTCCTGCCCATCCAATAAACAGAGCGGCTCCTAATTCATACCTGTGAGAAAGTATTACACAAGTATTACAGCTTACTTATTAGGGGGGTAAACAATATTTAACACTGTTGGGCAACAGTTGCTAAATGCTCATACTTTTTGCTATCAACTTGTAAAGGAAGTTACTACACCTTTGTGTCTATAGAAAGCTGTAAACTCTTCTCAAAGTGTTGTTGTAACCATTTTTTTGATAGTCTCCAACATCCTGAAAGAAAATGAGTATGTTTAGGCAGACAAGGTCAAAGTCTAGATCTGACTCATTTGGCACCTTTCTCTAGGTTCTGCCTTCACTTCCCAAAACCTTCCACCCGTTCACTCTATTTGAAGTGTAAATTATTTAGGAATACTGTAGTTAGAAAAGGAAGGCTTCTACCCCTTTTGTTTTGGGTCTCCTCAGGAATGTTGGTCACATTCCTGCTGTATATAAATAAATCATGGTACCAAGGTGTCCATAAAGGATCAGGATGGAAATGGCTTCATCTTACAATAACGGCTATTATTTAGTGATACATTGCTAATCAGCATCTCCTGGATGGCAGGCCATAATACCCTGCAGATGACCAAAGCAGATGCATAGATGAACATGACAGTCCCTCCCTTGGGGAGGACAATGTTTTTAGGGAAGAGTCACCCAAAGCAACAAACTACGGAATAAGAAGAGCATAGCGAAACCAAGGGTCTGTGCATTCTCATTATGTCTGTCCTTTTCCTACAGAATAGGTTGCTGTTGCTTTTTATAGAGGGTCTTTTATATAGGGTCTTGGCTCATAGACCTGTAATCCAAGGCAAAAAGAAAAAATTTTCTTCTAATGGTGCTTTTCAGTATAAAGTAAAGCTGAAGTGGGAAAGGTCTGTTTTGATTGCACAGAATCCATAGTGAAGATGAGGTTAGGAAGGTCAGAGGTAAAGAGAAAACAGGACCCACGGTTGGTCCCCTCACCAGTTACTTCCCCTGACCAATTGTGGGACCAGAGCCCAGGGTGTGGAGGTCCACAGTGCTGCTGACAGCAGCTTGCCAGAGCTGCCCGTGGCTGTCCTGAGCCTCTTGCCTTCTGACTTGCCATGCCACAAATTCTGGACTCTTGTCCCTGGAATAGGCAAGCTTTCTGGTGTGGTTTGAGTGGCCGTAGGGGTTAATGTAGCCCAACCACTAGCCAAGAGACCAGGAAGCAATGCTTACAAAAATCAGTGGCTTTGGGATGGGATTACATGCACAACAGTGCTACCCTTGGAATCCCTTCTTTTCTCACTGTCCTGCCACCCTTCCTGGGAAATTAAGTGACAGATGGGGCAAGGAACAACTGTGACAGCAACTAGGAGCAAGTACTTCATCCAGTTCTAGAAGCCCAGATACTTCTCCAAGGGTCCATCAGGCAATGGCAAACAGATGTTGGTATAAGTGGACAAAAACACACTCAGACTGTACACACACACACACACACACACAGACACCCCAAAGAGGGTTGAGGAGTGATGTGCTGGAAAAGAAAGCCCAACCAGAAACATCAAACTGGGAGTTTAGAAGACACTCATGTTGTACATCCCTAAAGGATGTCCTAAATATCCTCAACCTGCTCTGCTTCTATGTTGTCTTAATGCGATGTACATAAGAGACACAGTCCTGCCAAGCTGTGTTGTACATGTCTTTTGACCTCTTTGAACACCCAAAATCCTACAGAGAGCTGACTTCAGACCCACTCAGTGCCATCCTTTGGCAGTATAATGAAAGGAACGAACATAGCCAAACACTTCAATGTGGAGGACATTACTAACTAAGATGACAACTCTAAAATCTTATGCCTTTTATTTTTCTCTACTTTCCCCTCCTGGAGGTTAGGCTGTCTTCTCTCCTACAACTTTGCCTTAGCAAAGGAGTATATCCTGAAGAGAGTCTGAGATTTTTTCACAATACTGAGCTTATTAAAACAGGATGTTAGTGCCATGTACTATGGGTGATTAAGTATCTTCTTATTATTGGTGGCCAGTTGAAGGATGGAGGAGACAGAAACCGTGAGCCACAGCTGGGCACTGAATTTATGGAAAGCGTTACAAACACGTACAGTATTGTAAATTTCAGGACTGTCTTCATTAACTCAAACAATCTTTAAACTTTCCGAAGATATTTGAGAGTCATGAGTTTGGCTTATTAATAACTGGCTCATTTACTCCTTTTTAGTGTATTTCACTTTTCATATAGGGTAAATGTCAAGGAAAATATCATTTTCATTTGACTTCTATTGTGACCTCTGTCAAACACTTAATAAGTAGTACCCATTTAGACTTGATTTTAGAGACCCTAAATCTATCCTAGCATTTTTTAACAATTCGGATGTGCCAGCTTTTGTACTGGTTCTTTCTCTTTCAGAGACTTTCTTCATTCTATTCAGAGACACCGGTCACAGACTTGCTCAACGGTGACTTCATACCTATTAATGTGTGTCATCCAGCAAACACTGACTTGTGTTATTGAAAGGCAACATGACAGACAGAACAATGTAAAATCCACTACAATTTCTTTCCAAAGCACGTCTTCTTCACCTCTGCTGGAAGTCTTTCTTCACTTTTGGTAATGCTAATAAACTGATTTCGACACCTCAGGAGGATTATCCAAATTTCGGATTATCTGTTGCAGGTCTTTCTTTGTCAGCAATATCCTCTTGGCCCTAGGCCAGCTTTCCCTCTCAGTGTGGCCTCTTTGTTCAGATCACCACAGTTTCTTCCTTATGCTGAAACGATAAATCTACTCCACACCAGTCAGATCCATGATCCTCAGCGTGAGTAAGGAACTTGGTTTTCAGAAGAAAACATTGTTTTTGGAGTATCTCAGTTGATAGGATTCATCAAAAGCTGCTTTAATATTTGTGTCAGTGACTTGATGGAGTTGGGGAGTGGCTCAATGGTAAAGTGCTTGCCTGGCCAGCCCCAAGGCCCTGAGTTCAAACCCCAATACCACCAAAACCAAACAAATACAGATTAACCACTTTTAAGTCTCTCCCCCACACCCCAAATAAACCCAACTCTATGGACTAGAGTTACTCTCCTCTACCTGGCCGTGTCTGGAACTATGGGCTGTTGCCCATGGATTTCATCTCATGTGGAGGACAACTTGATTTGATGTATGTCCTACTTCAACTCAGAGCTCAGCCTGGTCTCTTCTTAGCCATTTTAAGGAAAGAGATTGAGGAACACCTCTTATTTTCACATCCTATTTCAAGTCACATTCTGTTCTGACTTGATTTGCTATCCATGGGAACCAATGTAGTTTCCCCTGGTCATCTCCACAGAAATGACAGGACAAGTTACTGCGTTAATCCCGTGTTCAGGGTGGACAAGAGAGACAGCCCTGTTCTCACAGATCTTACAGTCCAGTGGCACTGGTCAGACATTGAGCAAATAGTTACAGTAAGGTATGATGAAACTTAACAATAGAGTTAAAGAGCATGTCTGTGCAAAGCAAACCTGACCACTGTTCTCCCAAATCCACACAGACGTGCTTCAAGTCAATCCCACAGTAACAGCTACTATTACTACAGCTCATTGTTAGGACTGTGTGTGTGTGTGCTAAGATTTTTTTATATACATTACCATATTAATTTTCACTGCAATCCTGAGAGATAGGTATTAGTATCCTTATTTTACAAATGAGGAAATCAAAGCTCAGAGAAAGATTAAATTACCTGTCCCATGTTTCAGCTAAGTAAACACTAAGACCAGGATTGAAAACCTGTGGACTATGATTCCAACCAACTCCCAAGGTCTAAACTGTTGCTCCATCTTCCTGTCATGGACACCTGTTGCTAAGTAAAGGATTTTATTAATATTTTAAAAAAATCAATGCAGCCTGTTATCAGTTCTTATTTCACAGAGGAGTTTTCCTCTTCCTGGTTCATTAAGTTCTTGGTGGCTCAAGAGCTGCAGGGTATGGAATTTTTTTCTGAATGCCCTCTGGCTGTCTTTTCACCCAGCACAAAAAGAGGTGAGGAATAATAAAATCAGACCTGCAGGAGCTCAGAAAGGAGAACAGGCTCTCCAAAAATAAGGCAAAAACTCTTGTAACAAATGGGAGCACTCATCCTTTTAGGATCCCCAGCAAAGTGAAGACACCTTAATGAAAGTCACAGAGCCAGAAGCCTCATTTTAATCAAGAGGTAATAGGCAAATGATATTCCAGTTACTGAAGTTTGGACTCAGGGCTTCACACTTGCAAAGCAGATGCTTTACTGCTTGAGCCAGGTCTCCAGTCTATTTTGCTCTGGTTATTTTGGAGATGGGGTTTGGGAACTTTTTGGTGGGCTGTTCTCAAACCTCGATCCTCCTGATCACAGCCTCCCAAGTAACTAGGATTATAAGCATGAGCAATTGGTGCCCAGCAAAATAATGAAATTTTTTTTTTAAATGAGGGCTGGGGTATGGCTCAAGTGATGAGCACCTGCCTAGCAAGCATGAGGCCCTGAGTTCAAATCCCCAGTATCACCGAAGAAAAAAGTTTTTTAAAAAATTTTAAAATCTGTTCCAACATCATATGTTGATAATACTCATATATTGTCAACATCAGTGTTTCAAAATGACCTGTGTTGCTAAGCCAGCCTTTTAGAGATCACTGTTAGTGCAAACTTTCCCAAAAGTATAGGCTTATATATATAATCTAAGGTCTATAAACTGCAAGAATGGATTTTATATAAATAAGATTCTATAGGAATTGTCTTCAAACACATTTCCCGCAAATACGCCACAGTTACTAGAAGTGGGATGTGTCTTGGGCTGCCACAGTCTGCCTCCCTCTGTGATTTGCTTCTGTTAGCAGTTAGCTCTCTCCACTGCTGGGCAGTGCCCAGGACTCTACCCAAGGCATTCCACAAGGCTTAGGAACTAGTGGCAGGAGCCTCCCAAATGTTGGCAAGCCATAGAATGGGAGATTATAAGTGTCTGTTTACACATGGAACCTTGAGAGTAGTTCTCCAATTTAAGAAACTAAAATAAAAACTAATTTTTAAGTTGGGGTAACAATTCTAAATTGCTCTTCTGTCATTACATCTATAACAATGTAATAATACTCATATAACTCATTATAACAATGTAATAATACTCATATATGTGTATTTTCTCTCTGTGTGCTGTGATTATTCATTGAGTAGTTTAGAATTCTGCAAGCTGTGTATATTATAACAGGTAACATATACTGATTACCTACCAAGTGTTGGATGCTTTGTATATTCTTTTTTTCCTACCTTGCTTTTTTTTTTTTAGATAAACATGTTGCAAAGATCTTATTTAACTGATTAAGTAAGTAGGAAAGTTGTTTTAGGAATTTCCTATCTTAAAGTATAGTCCTGTCTGCACTGTCAGATTATTCAGGCTTCAGTGTGCATGTGCCCCACCTTCTGTGAGCATTGTGACTCAGCCCATCATTCTCACTGAAAGGTCAAGGTCAGTAACCCCTCAGTTACCCACATGGATGGATGAGGTCAATGGTATCGATGTTGCTAAATGATAGATTTGGTTTTGAACTGAACTGCGAGAGATTTCAGCAGGTGGTCTCTACTTCGTGATGCACCTCGTCTGGTTTGGATGACAGACTAATAAATCAGTAAGTAGTAACTCCCAGGAGGATTATGGTGGCATACAAGAAACAACGCAGCATCCAGAAGGGCTCTATCTCCCCCAGGAGGCAAGTCTGAAGGATGATCAGGTGAGCCAGGGTATGAAGGGGATAAGAGAAAATTACCAGAATTGCCAGGATAATTAACCCATGCACCAGTTAGTCAAATCAAGACAGAATTGGTGAGTACTTGGTATCCGAGCAGATTTTTAAGGCCTGCTAGCATAGCAAAAGTATCAGCAGAATTCCAATAATCCGAGATAGCTAGCCTAGTTCTCAACAAGTAAAGTCACAGGAAGATGTCTTGTTCATAGTTAGCAGTTGTTTGCTGTGTTTTTAATATTTAGCAGTTAATGGAATCTATAGAGTCTTTGAGGTCTTCACCATCATTAGCTCATTCTCCACATTGCCTCGTGAGAAGAGTGATCTTAAGCAAACTATTTCATAATTAATAAATTGCCATAAGGCTAGAGAGAAAAGTTAAGATCTTGGCAAGGTCACCTGTGAGATTGATACTCTTTTCAATTCCACCCAGGAAAATCTGTGAAATTGTAGAGCTCTGCTTTTTAGTTTGTTGTTCATTTAACTTGACAGACACACCAGAATGAGAGAATTTTCCAATCTTCTACTTCTTTTTTGATGCTGGGAATCGAACCTTGGTGTCATACATGCTAAGCACAGCTCTACTGCTTAGCCACTCTTCCAGCTGGCAGATGTTTATTTCTAACTACTAAACAGTGACAACACGAAAAGATTTTACCTAACTAAAGCTTAAACCCTAAAATGGAACCAAGTATGTGAGGAATGAAGAGTATTCCAGTGTTTGAAAAGACTGAAAAAGGCCTGGAGACTATCTGAGCCAAAAGCATCAAGGATAACTTATATATGAAAAAATCTAAGATCGTAATGTTCTGTTTTCTTAAATAGGTAATTGGTTAAGTGCCAGTAACTTTTCCTGATTTGTAAAGCATTTTATGACAATCAATTCTTATGTGGAACAGTTAATTTAAGAAAACAAAGCAAGACATTCAGGAAGTTAGTGGTCTGGACAAGAAAGCAATGATGTGAATCAAGCCATGGGTTACCTATTATCATCAGCTTGGAGAAGCGGAGATATTATTTTTTCAGACTTGGTAGGTTTGTTTTAATAAAAAGGAGGAAGTTGGTTTGAAATAGCCTAAAGGGAAGAGTAGAGAAATAATTTTCAGGACTGTCAGAGCCCATGCTGGGAAGTCATTGAAACATGATCATAACTTGAACAAAAGGAAGCAAAACAAAAGTTAAAAAGATAGTGGGGAGCCGGCACCGGTTGCTCACGCCTGTAATCCAGTTACTCAGGAGGCAGAGATCAGGGGATCTCAGTTCAAAGCCAACCCTGGGCAAATAGTTTCGTTGAGATCCCATCTTGTAAAAAAAAAAAAAACACCACACAAAAGGGCTGGTGGAGTGGCTCAAGGGTAGGCCTGAGTTCAAACCCTAATCCATCAGAAATCTTATGAAAATCAACAAACCAAAATGAAACCATGCTCTAAGGCCTAACTGTCTTGTAGCACATTTTAAAAATATTAGGTCTTGGAGAGCAATTCAAACTAGGAGCCTGTAGCAAAACTGTTTGTGTTCCAGCTTCCTGCCCAAGGACCACATCAGGAGGTCATGCTGCAGTCACACCTTCTGGGCTTCCAGGGAGATGACATTTGGTGATAGCTAGTGATTGTAAGATTAGCTGACAAACCAGGCACCTATGACTTACACCTGTAGTTGTAGCTACTTGGGAGGCTGAGATTGGGAGGATCATGGTTCCAGGACAGCCTGGGGAAAAAGTTTTTGAGACCCTATCTCAGTGGAAAAACAGCTGGCATGGTGGCATGCCTGTCACCTCAGCAATGGCAGGAGGTGTAAATAGGAGACTGAGATCCAGGATGGCCTGGGCAAAAAAGCCAGGCCCTATATATCCAAAATAACGAGAGCCAACAAAGGGGTGGAGGCATAGCTCAAATGGTAGAGCAATCAGCAAGTGCAAGCCCAGCGTTCAAATACTGACACTGCCACACAAAAAAAGAAAGATTAGCTGACAATAAAGAGGTGCCTCCCAGCTCTGTCCTCTCAGAGGCTTGCTTCCTCAGGCTGCTGAGACAAAAGAAAGCTTTCCCCAATCCAGAAAGGACCAGCAATACAATAACAACGTTACTTCTTTCACTGTGGTGGACACCAGACATAGTGAAAAGAGTTGCCTCTGACCTCGTGGATCTTACTTAATCTCATACCTGGCGAGTAGGACACTAAAGGCTGCTAAAATAATCCCATGGCTGCACCCTCCAAGCCCCTGCTCATAGCTGGTGCAGCCATGAATTTGGGCTCCTCGTATACTAAGTTCATGTACAAATGAAATTAGGTACCAATTATTAAGTTCTGCAAATGTCAGCTGAGGAAGTGCTCTCCCCAGGATATGGCAGCTCAAAGTCTTGCTTTAAAGACGATGACTTTTCAAGACCTCTGCAGCTAGTTTATTCTGTGTTAAGAGGCAATTTGTGGCTTACTCATCTTCCAAATTTTTATCCCCTTCTATGAGAAGGTAGTGCTAAAGAGAGACAGATGAAATCAATACGGTCAATTTGTTGATTTTCTTAAAAGCACATTTTATTTCAACAAGGTATTGGAATTCCCTTTGTGTGTCATATGCCATTTTAGGCCTCTTTTCTGTCACTGTAATTAGAATCCGACTCATATTAATGATTCTTAGGCTTGGATAATTAATTCCTTGTGCCAACTAGAAATTCATTCTCCCATGGAGGGCCTTTCTTTGTGCAAGTCACTGCAACGGAACACAGGGTTGAGGGAAGAAAACGGCCCAATTTTCACCCAGGAGTTTCACCCACAGTGAAAGGCCTGTACTTGTAAATATTTACCAAAATTTTGCTCAGCCAGCACTGTTTTTGTTTTGCATTGCTTCCCCAGTAGCTGAGAGTACAGGTAACCTGCTACTGTGCTTAGCTAGCAAGGGCTTTTCTTTAACCTCTAGCTTTTCATTTTTTTTGGCAAGCACTGGGGTTTGAACTCAGAGACCTCATGCTTGCTAGGCAGGTGCTCTACACCTTGAGTCACTCCACCAGCCCCTAGCTTTTCTACTTTTAATTATAAGCTAAACCTGGAAAATTCTAGGTTATTAATTTTTAAGGTCATGGCAGAAAAGAGCTAATAAAAGACATGCTATAAAGAATAAACTAGAGTCTTTACTCCACTTTCCTGCATGGGAGCAGGAATATTTCTCTCCTTTTTTCCCATTTCCCTCTACTTTTATCCTGTTATACTAAATTTCTTTTCGCTAATAAGCTTTACTATCATTTTATTACATTTTTAAGCATCTGCTGATAATTCCTCTGGCTGGATGTAAGAACTGAGTAGAAACTAAACTCTGGTACATTTTTTTGTTGTCGTGCTCAGACTCCAGATCTAAAGGTATTGTGACTGGGGATACTCAGATGTCAATACATCTTTGACCCAGATATCAGATCTAATATGTCTTACTTGGGTCACTACAGCTACTTCAGCACAAGCTATAAAACTAATAAATACAGCTTCAAGGACTAAGTTCACTAAACTCTAAGTAGGCTCCCTCCTTAAACCACAACTACATAAGTTGGATCTCTAAGGTAGATACCCCTTCGCTAGGGGACCTTCTTTGGATCATCCCAATGACCTGGTACCCTCCCAGCTATCCCAATGACGGGCAGCAAGAACAAGAGTGTCCTGACCTAGCCTACCGCTGCACACCAGGCAGGAAAACCAGACTGAAGAAAGTTTCACAAACCCTCATCTCCAGATAAGCAGAGCAATATGGACTGGAGGTGTGCCCTCAAAGAGGTACAATGCCCTGCTTGGGCAAGCATGAAGCAGTCACAACGCCCTGGTTCATGCCCCAGTTCTCCCCACTTTCCTCACACAAAGCAAGCAGGCTGTGATGGTGCCTTCCTCCAAAGTCCAGCTATGCTGAAAGTAAGAGGTAAGAGGATCAATGGTCCAAGGCCAAGCCTGGCAAAAGCTCAAGCCCCTTGTGAAAAAGTAACTAAAAGCAAAAAGGCTGGAGTTTGGCTTTCAATGCAAGGCCCCAAGTTCAAATCCCAGAACTGTGCCCAAAGGAAAAACTATTTAAAAATGTACAAAGAAACTCCCTGTCAGAAATTATAAGAAATATTCTAAGTCACACCTTTTGAGCAAAGTTTCTTAGAATTTGACTACGGTGGATTGAATCATGAATATTCAACTAACCAGTTTAGTCCCCTGGACACTTCACCGACCTCTTTAATTTCGAAGAAAAGAGCATCCCAGTGGATCCTACTTCCTAAGATATTCATAAATAAAATGTACGGCGGGAGTGGTTATGTGTTCATGTATGAAAATGTAACAATGAGACCTATTAAAATCAGTTCTAAGAGTACGGGGGGGGTAAAGAATGAATGGAGGGGGTGAAATCTAAAATATATTGTAACATTTGTAAATCGTCACAATGTACCCCACTGTAAAATTATAATATGCCTAATAAATAAAAAATATGCCAACATTTGCAGTGCTTTTGGGCTTGGCACACGGTAGCTATTATTTTTTCATTAGAGGTTCATAAATTTAAGCATTTCCTATTTATGCATTAGCTATAACTAAACACAGAACTGGAAAAATCAAATTTTATGGAGATTCCAAAATCTGCCAGAAAAAAAGGAATGCCGCATTGACCAGGTAAATTTTATAATTTAAACTTGAAAATGTTTTTTATAACATTTTAAATCTAAGTTGAAAGAGAAATACCAGCCTGGTGGACAGGAGACACTAGGGCAACCTGTGGCTTCCTGCAGGGGTCCTCTGAGGTTAACCTGTTAGACAAAAGATTACATATGTGGTTTGCTTATTTCTCATTTGGTGTCTCTGGGGTTTTCCAATCCAAAGAATAAGCCTAGAGAAACCATAAAAAGCAAAAGGAACAACAATAAAAGCCACAAATGCATAAATAAGCACCCCTGTGTTGATTACCAAAGCACTCACTGCAGCTTAAAGAACACATCTGGGTATCCTACCACACTCCAACAGCATTTAAAAAACCTGTTGTCATGTGGTTCTTTATAAAGGATGCCCGTAATGCGGGCTTAATCAAATTCTAAGACCTAGAGACCCAGCATCTGGATGAACCACAATTGAAGCAGACTTTTATTTTTTTCTATTCTCAACACCTCATCTTCCTTTCCTCCCATTCATATTTACTTCCACTTTTCCTAAGTTTCTTCAATCTTATGATAGGCAGTGGGTGAAGTTTAACTGCCTTAAATCCTGTGCCTGAGCCTTATACTTTGAGACAAAGACAATTGTTACAAATACTCATGAAGAAGTTACATCATCTTTTTCAGTGTGGCACCTGTGACTTTGCATTGATGTCATCAAATCCCACTTTACCAGTATGTTCAATTTTCAACAGCCCATAGGAAATCATTTATCTTTAATAGCTGACATTAATTTACATCATGTCCTGTGGGCTAGAAATGTAGAGACCAAAGGAACACTTACTTTTTGCTCCACAACGTAAGGATCAAAGAATTCTTTGTGAATTTTTGGGTTTGCATACATGGAACAGCCATCATGGAGCCATAACCCTAAAAAATGTAAAGTCAGAGAGAAAGCCACTAATGGTAGTGGTTTATTTCATTTAACCGCATGAACAACCCTGTTTGGAAGAAGTTATTGTTTACTGAGAGGATGAATACAATCCAGCCAACAGCAATTTTAGCTTTGGCTTTATCTGAGCCTCCAACTTTAGTACAACTCATTCAAAGGTTGGCAAATATGGCACCAAAAAAAGCCCAGGCTGAACAGCAAGCAATCATAAGTTTCCTCTACATGCTGATTAACCTGCAATAGGGAGGTCATTTACATTAAAACATGAAACATGCAGCTGCCCTAGAGAGACATCCTTATTTTACATTAAGCATTCCTGGATGATTGTCACCTAAGAAACATAACTAATGGTTAAAAAACGAAAGGCAAAGACAAGCAGAAAATAGAAAACACACTAACTTTATATTGAAGTACCAATCTATGGTCCACACTTTAAAGTTTGGTTTGTGCATAATCCTCCAGACACAAAACCTGAGTTACCCCAACATTCACTTATGAAGGAAACTGTGGCACCAGGCAGGTTTCATAACTTGTCAGAGGTAGTTAGTAAGTGGCAAGAAATGGATCCCAGATCAGTCTATAAAACTCCAAACGACACTGAGCCCTGTCATTTTAAGAGGCATCATCTTCCCATTTAAGTAAGCTATTAATTTTTGACATTGGGTTGCAGGAGTTTCCAAAGGGTCAAACCCTCCAACATAGTGAACAGTTTGTAACGGAGGCTACTTAGAATCTCCCCCAGCACAAATGAGGAGTAAGTCAAGAAGTATTTTAGTGACATTGTGTTACTCTCAGGTCACCACACAAGAAAGTTGGCCTTTAGAAAGCACTGTTTTAGTAAAATAATTCATATTATTAAGTCAACTGCTTACAATAGCTCCACAAGATGTGTCTGTCAGTTTGTTGGGTCATCCTTCCTGTTCATTCTTTTTCTCAGTCACACATTTTTATTTGGCTAGCGAGGATGATGGTAACTTCAGTGTGGCTTTTGTCCAGGCACTAAACTAACACATTTTAAACTAATAGGATTTAAACTCAATAAACTATTACCACAAAGCCATTTTCACGTTCCTTGCCTGAAAACCGTGCATATTGGCATCTGAAATGGTGAGGTAGCACATGCTAAAGGTGTAAGTAAATATTTGGTTGAGCAAATGGACACATAAATGCATAGGTTTTACATTGGGAATTAAGTCTCTTAAAAAAAGAAAAAAAATGATAACATCTCACACTCCTAGAAAAACAAGAACAAGCAAATCCCAAACAAATAGAAGGAGAGAAATAATAAAAATAAGAGCTGAAATCAACGAAATAGAAACCAAAAAAACCATACAAAGAATTAATGAAACAAAAAGTTGGTTCTTTGAAAAAAACAAAAAGATCGATAGACCCCTGGCAAACCTGACTAAAATGAGGAGAGAAAAAACCAAATTAGTAGAATCAGGAATGCAAAAGGGGAGATAACAACAAACACCATGGAAGTCCAGGAAATCATCAGAGACTACTTTGAGAACCTATATTCAAATAAATTTGAAAATCTAAAAGAAATGGACAGATTTCTAGATACATATGATCATCCAAAACTGAACCAAGAGGAAATTAATCACCTGAATAGACCTATAACACAAAATGAAATTGAAGCAGCAATCAAGAGTCTCCCCAAAAAGAAAAGTCCAGGACCTGATGGATTCTCTGCTGAATTCTATCAGACCTTTAAAGAAGAACTGATACCAACCCTCCTTAAACTGTTCCATGAAATAGAAAGGGAAGGAAAACTGCCAAACACATTTTATGAAGCCAGTATTACACTTATCCCAAAACCAGGCAAAGACACCTCCAAAAAGGAGAACTATAGGCCAATCTCCTTAATGAACATTGATGCAAAAATCCTCAACAAAATAATGGCAAATCGAATTCAGCAACACATCAAAAAGATTATTCACCACGACCAAGTAGGCTTCATCCCAGGGATGCAGGGGTGGTTCAACATACGAAAATCAATAAACGTAATAAACCACATTAACAGAAGCAAAGACAAAAACCACTTGATCATCTCAATAGATGCAGAAAAAGCCTTTGATAAGATCCAACATCATTTCATGATAAAAGCTCTAAGAAAACTAGGAATAGAAGGAAAGTTCCTCAACATTATAAAAGCTATATATGACAAACCTACAGCCAGCATTATACTTAACGGAGAAAAATTAAAACCATTCCCTCTAAAATCAGGAACCAGACAAGGATGCCCACTATCTCCACTCCTATTCAACATAGTACTGGAATTCCTAGCCAGAGCAATTAGGCAAGAAGAAGGAATAAAAGGAATACAAATAGGTAAAGAAACTGTCAAAATATCCCTATTTGCAGACGACATGATCCTATACCTTAAAGACCCAAAAAACTCTACTCAGAAGCTTCTAGACATCATCAATAGCTATAGCAAGGTAGCAGGATATAAAATCAACATAGAAAAATCATTAGCATTTCTATACACTAACAATGAGCAAACGGAAAAAGAATGTATGAAAACAATTCCATTTACAATAGCCTCAAAAAAAAATCAAATACCTAGGTGTAAACCTAACAAAAGATGTGAAAGACCTCTACAAGGAAAACTATACACTTCTGAAGAAAGAGATTGAGGAAGACTATAGAAAGTGGAGAGATCTCCCATGCTCATGGATTGGTAGAATCAACATAGTAAAAATGTCTATACTCCCAAAAGTAATCTACATGTTTAATGCAATTCCCATCAAAATTCCAATGACATTCATTAAAGAGATTGAAAAATCTACTGTTAAATTTATATGGAAACACAAGAGGCCACGAATAGCCAAGGCAATACTCAGTCAAAAGAACAATGCAGGAGGTATCACAATACCTGACTTCAAACTATATTACAAAGCAATAACAATAAAAACAGCATGGTACTGGCACAAAAACAGACATGAAGACCAGTGGAACAGAATAGAGGACCAGATATGAAGCCACACAACTATAACCAACTTATCTTTGACAAAGGAGCTAAAAATATACGATGGAGAAATAGCAGCCTCTTCAACAAAAACTGCTGGGAAAACTGGTTAGCAGTCTGCAAAAAACTGAAACTAGATCCATGTATATCACCCTATACCAAGATTAACTCAAAATGGATCAAGGATCTTAATATCAGACCCAAACTCTTAAGTTGATACAGAAAGAGTAGGAAATACTCTGGAGTTAGTAGGTATAGGTAAGAACTTTCTCAATGAAACCCCAGCAGCACAGCAACTAAGAGATAGCATAGATAAATGGGACCTCATAAAACTAAAAAGCTTCTGTTCATCAAAAGAAATGGTCTCTAAACTGAAGAGAACACCCACAGAGTGGGAGAAAATATTTGCCAATATACATCAGACAAAGGACTGATAACCAGAATATACAGGGAACTTAAAAAACTAAATTCTCCCAAAACTAATGAACCAATAAAGAAATGGGCAAGTGAACTAAACAGAACTTTCTCAAAAGAAGAAATTCAAATGGCCAAAAACACATGAAAAAATGCTCACCATCTCTAGCAATAAAGGAAATGCAAATTAAAACCACACTAAGATTCCACCTCACCCCTGTTAGAATAGCCATCATCAGCAACACCACCAACAACAGGTGTTGGCGAGGATGCGGGGAAAAAGGAACCCTCTTACACTGTTGGTGGGAATGTAGACTAGTACAACCACTCTGGAAAAAAATTTGGAGGCTACTTAAAAAGCTGGACATCGATCTACCATTTGATCCAGCAATACCACTCTTGGGGATATACCCAAAAGACTGTTACTCCAGAGGCACCTGCACATCCATGTTTATTGCGGCACTATTCACAATAGCCAAGTTATGGAAACAGCCAAGATGCCCCACACTGACGAATGGATTAAGAAAATGTGGTATCTATACACAATGGAATTTTATGCAGCCATGAAGAAGAACGAAATGTTATCATTCGCTGGTAAATGGATGGAATTGGAGAACATCATTCTGAGTGAGGTTAGCCTGGCCAAAAGACCAAAAATCGTATGTTCTCCCTCATATGTGGACATTAGATCAAGGGCAAACACAACAAGGGGATTGGACTTGAGCACATGATAAAAGCGAGAGCACACAAGGGAGGGGTGAGGATAGGTAAGACACCTAAAAAACTAGCTAGCATTTGTTGCCCTTAATGCAGAGAAACTAAAGCAGATACCTTAAAGCAACTGAGGCCAATAGGAAAAGGGGACCAGGAACTAGAGAAAAGGTTAGATTAAAAAGAATTAACCTAGAAGGTAACACCCACGCACAGGAAATCAATGTGAGTCAATGCCCTGTATAGCTATCCTTATCTCAACCAGCAAAACCCCTTGTTCCTTCCTATTATTGCTTATACTCTCTCTACAACAAAATTAGAGATAAGGGCAAAATAGTTTCTGCTGGGTATTGAGGGGGGGAGGGGAGGGGGGAGTGGGTGGTAAGGGAGGGGGTGGGGGCAGGGGGAGAAATAAACCAAGCCTTGTATGCACATATGAATAATAAAAGAAAAATGAAAAAAAAAAAAAAAACCCTTTAAGTGCCCAGATTTTTGGCAGTAAACACTGGTGGCCTCTAGTCGTGTGCTTCTTTGGAAGAATAAAATTTAAAACCTGAATATTATTCCTAGGATCCACGTTGAAGAGCCCACAGCAGCTTCCCTACTGAACTGGAATATGTTTCGGGCCCCCATAAATGCAGACTGCTATGACAGTGGCTTCCTTTTATGTAGAGTGAATGACTTCCACACAAAAAATAATTTCACTGATACCAAGGCTATCAAGAGCAGCAAAAGAAACTTATTTTTAGCAAAACAGGATAATGAGGCTCCTTTTGATAGCAATAACCATGCTGCAGAGCTATCTGGTTCTTGGCTGATGAATTCTGAACCAACTCGATTTTAAACCTCGACCTACAAGTTCCTCAGCAAAAGCCTAGGCCCAGGCAGAGGCAAGACAGAGAGCAGAATCCTATCAGTCCTTTGCAAGACTCAGAGGATAACTGAAAGCTACAACTACAGTGTGATTTCATTATTTTTGTGAAATTCATTTTAATCCGTGCTTTCTAGGTGTTTTAGCTAACTCTCAATACAATCATTAAACAACAAAGCTGGAGGGACTAGCCACACAGTAATCCCCTTAACAGCAGGAATATGTTCCAAGACCCCAGTGGATGTCTGGAACCAGGGTTATGCTGACCTATATACCTGCTTTTACCACAACAACGTGAATAAAGTTAAGTGAACAGTAAGGAATCCATAATAACCAATTACTAATAATTAAATTAAAAATACTTTATAAATAAAGATTGTTTAAAACTGATGAGTTGTTTAGGTTCTTGGAATTTCAAATTCATATTTTTGGAATACTGGTTGACTGGATAAGTGAAACAAGACCATGAACACCGTGTGTTAAGGGGGGATGAAATGTATTTTACATGGACAAATACATCTTTATAGAGATGGTAGATAGCACATAAAACATATATCCCCTAGCAACTTTTCATGCAACCATCATTTGCATTACTTTAGTTATCTTACAGGCTTTAATTTGTTGGTGGATGGACTGGGAATTAACAAGTTAAATTCTAACAATCTGATCATTTAGAACAGGGAGTGCATTTTCCCAGATGGTAAACTAGTGGTGGAATCCCAGCCAACCTGGTCAACCCTTAATATGACAGGGAATCACACAACCACCAACAGTAGTCCTATCCTTCTGAGTTCTATTCTCTTGACCTGCTGGCTTCAATGGCACAGGCCCAGAAGAAGAGATGACCAAGCAAGGTTCTGATTTGCCCAGTCCCTTCTGTACCAGCCCAGAACCCTGGTGTGGAAGGTAGCTACCTCTCCTGCACAAGTAGCAATAATTTAAACTAACGTTCTGCATTGACAAATGAAGGCATGTCATAGGGACAATGGCGGGGCAGATTTTCTGAGAGCCCAAGAGCAGGAAATAAACTCTGCCAGCCCATAAAAGGAAACCAGGTTGTTTGTTAACGGCTCAGTTTGTAAACTAGTGCAACCATCCCCCTTAAAACACACTCAGACCAGGCGTAAGTTGATTTCCAACAAACTGCGCAGAGTATACTTTTGGCAGGCAGACCCTCTACAATCTAGCTTCTGAAACAGCTCCCGAGGCAAAACTTAATAATAACACCATCAAAGTGAAGTGTGGTGAAAACCTAGTCAAGGAGGCCAATTATTTTTTGACAAGGTCTAATTTACTGACACCGTTCATAGGCTTAATTAACACAATTAAAGTGCTGAGGCTTGAACATATTTACTTAGAAGTTCTCTGCAGTATAATTTACATGTTTAGTTCTCCTACGAGAAATGGAAAACATCGCACTAACGAAAAAAATAGATGGCAATATCGTAAACTCAACCTGGCTGAAATGATTCTCACAGTTGAAGATCAATGGGGCCTTTGAAAGGAGTAAGGGGTTTAGCAATAAACAGAATCACTAGGTCATTCAACTTGACATTTTTCAAATAGCAACTTTAAATAATGAATTTCTGGTGGAGAAACTGCTTCAAAGTGTCGCCTTAAAGTTCCAAATGAGGTGCCTTCCTTATTTTCAACAGCCAAACAGCAAAAATGAAAACATCCCTGTGGAGACAATTTACTGATCGCACCATAGATAATTGCTGAATTTAAGAATGAAAAAGAATTAGCTTTTATTTTTTATTCGAGTAGCTCTGTGTGTTTTTTTGCATCCTTTGAAAGAAGGGTTGGGGGTGGGGCAAGCAGAACACTGAATTTCAGCTATGGTTCTTCTGTGTATCTATGGTGTCTCCTTGATTACGGAACTGATCTTTCTGAGTCTCCACTTTCTCATTATAAAATAGAGACAGAAGCACCTGCTTCACAAGATGAAATATATGAGCAAACTGTCTGAAATAAGTAGGTGAAGGACCCCATCAGAGCATCCCCTCACACAATACAATATTGACCTATAAACAAGAAATGAGAGCAGAAACGGTTTAGCCTGGTGGCCCTAACCATCTAGACATCACGACAGAACACTTGATCTAGTATTTAGTGTTCTAGGCCTCACTTTGCTTATAGGGAAAGATGGAGTAGCAGTGAAAGCCTCTGAGGGTGAAAAGTCAGAGCTCTGACCTCATATAGGAAATTCAGACAACAAACCTATGCTTGTGGCCAAGAGGCTTATTCTTTACATCTAACATGAGACACCAAGAGTCATGAGCTTTCTCTCGTCCTTCTTGGACTCTCTTTCCAATCTAGAGCTCATGCCTTGCTCAGGGGGAGGCCTGGGCTATTCAGGTCTGTGCCACCACAGCCCACAGTAAGGTGACTTTCTCCCATCACTTCAAAGGCAGCATCAGGACCAGCATCTAGCAGATGCACCTGCCTGGGAATCCCAGGCAGACGGTAGACAAGTAGAGGTGCCCTGCTTAGGAAAGTTCCATTTGCACGTAGGGGGAACAATTCTCCTGCTTGTGAAAATATAGCTATGTGACTTAACCCTTCTGGGAGGTTCAAGAAAGTACATTTATCATTGTGTGGAAAAAAATGCCCTCTTTGTTATAGAAAATAAGGCAATCAAGTAAGAGACAATAAATGTGATTATATCACAAATTTCAAAGGTCTCTACGAAAAAGTACATCGTAAATTTAAAAGGCAAGCAATGCTTTGAGATGATAACATTTATAAGGAACCAAGGATTGACAACCAATTTAAAACAAGAAGAGACAAACCATGGGCATAAAGTTAATGAACAAATAATTCACAAAAAGAGAAAACAATAAATAGCCAATAAATACAACACAAGTAAGAGGGTCAGAATCAACGGGAATCAAGGGAAATGCCAATTAAAAATGATGGAATAAGAGCCTAGCTGCACCTAGAATACTGCACGACCACGTCGGTGTTTTAAGAATTGGAGGTGTGGCCTCCCTCGTACTGTGCAGTGGAATGCAACTTGTCCAGTGGAAACTGACTATTAAAAGTATGCTCTAAGACTGGGGAGTGGCTTCAATGGTGACTGCCCCACCTAGCAACTGTGTGAGGTTCCTTGAGTTTAACCGCCAGTACCAATAAAAAAAAAAAAAAGTTAAAATGCAAGCTCTGCTGCTCTGTTAATGACAACGCCTAGTGGAATAGCTACAGAAATATACATGTGCACAAAGAGGTGACTATATAAATATGAGGAATTTCCAGTAAGTGCTAATACCAGAGAAAAGTTGAGAGGGGCCAATGCTGTCAGTGGGTGATGATTGAATAAACCAGTTTTATCCAGACTAATGACATGTATGCAGCCAGCTAAAGAGGCAAGTTTTCTTATCGTAACAAACTGTAAAAATGTTCATTAAAAACATCCCCTGTTGAAGTGTAGTGGTACATGCCTATAATCCAGATACTCAGAAGGGAAGTAGGAGGCTAGAAAATTTGGAGTCCAGCCTGGGCAAAGGTATCAGGAGATGCCTCAAAAACAAAATACAAACAAATAGGGCTGAGGTGTGGCTCAAATGATAGAGCTCTTGCCTAGTAATGCAACAACGACCCTATGGTTTATACTCAGACTGGGCAAAAAAAAAAGTAGACATATTTACGTTTTTTAAAGCTATTTTCTAGCCACACGAGCCACACCATTTTGCAAAGTTGGATGACAATAGATAAACGCCAGTTTCTCTCTACTGCCATCTAACTTGATAATTTAAGGACCAAAGGCCCTCTTCCTCTCACCCCCCACCCACTGCCCCAAACCCAGGCACCGCCTCCGTTGGCAGACAAAGGGGAAACTCCGCTACCCTGCCTTTCAAAGATCTTCAAGCACACTTTATTCCCTTCCTCCTCCCTGCCTTCCTCCCCGAACTGCCGCGTGAAGAAGCGCCTATCTGGACGCTGTCTCAGTGCAACAAATAGTTCCTATGAGAGAATGCTCCACCTGGATAGTAACTGTCAATCCCACGCTCCTGAATGGAAAGCTCGAAACAAGAGCTGCCTGTTCAATCTACCTGGATGTGTTGCTCTGCAGGGTCAGAAATCAACAGTATATGCACGGGAATAAACAATGTTCCGGCTACTTGTTTTCTATAACAACAGGAACACAGACCCGGTAACCACCCTCCTAAAGGCAGGACATATTCCATCAAATACTGAAGTGAGCAAGTTTGCTTTGGCGTGGCAAGCACCGTCTTAGGAGAATCAAATCTTCTTCTATTTTACCCAGCTTTGTAACATAATAAAAACGGCAAGGGCAGGTAATAAAGAAAAGATAAACGCCTTGAATATAGAAAAAATGCAATGAACTCTTAAAGTTTCTCCTAGGGTCCATCTAGTCGCTGCTGAAAAATCCTGAAAAAACGAGCCCCCTGGAACTAAGCAATCCTGTGCCGGGGCCTGAACATCCACTGTTCTCTGGAAACCCATTACCAGTTTTTATGCGAATATCTACCTGTGGGTACATGCAGAGGCGCTAAGCAGAGCGAATGCGGGGGGACAACCGCAAAAGTAGCATATGAGGAATTCGCAGGGCACACCCCGCAGGAATGGGATGCGCGCTTGCTGTTCCCCAGTACGGGGATTCCCAACCGTGGGCGGACACTTAATCTGGCAAGGACTATTGACTTTTCTAAAATTTGGTGGCCCAAGCAGAGAAAGTTTGTAGAAGCGGATTTTTAAGCAGCAACCAAAACCTGCAATATGTTTCTTTTCCTCCACTGGCCTACTTTTAAAAAAGTAACCAACGAAATGAACGAAAGGAGTTTGGGGCAAGCATATTTAGCTCTCGTGACACCACTTTAATGAAGGCCAGACTGGGGGTGGGGAGACAACCCCTGCGGGTGAGCTCCGCGCCTATCAGTCCCTGACACGCCGGCGACAGCCGTGTCTTCCACTCAGGTCACAGAGCTCCCCGACCCGACACTGGGAGTCACCCCAGCTTGAGTTCCGGGGTAACCGGCTCGGAATAGGTGCCGCCGCAGTAAAGCCATTCTGGGGACAGTGGGCACCGTGGACCCTCCCGGCTCTTTCAGACCTTACAGGCAATGGAGGCGCGGGCCGGGAAGGGTCGGTCCGGGGGTCCCGCGAGGGATTCGGGGGACCGAGAGGAGTGAGGAAGCGAGGAAACGGGCCCAGGGGATGCAAGACCGTCCAAGCGCCCAGCATGGAGGGGAAGTCTTGCAGTTGGAAACGCCGGTGGGAGTCCAGTAACGCACGTCTTCCACCGGTTGGCCCCAAAACGTTGGCGGTGGTTGATGAACCCGTGCCGTCGATGGTGGACAACCTTCCAATAGTCGGTTCGACCAGCGTGGAGGACACCAAAACCCAGCCAGAGATGGAGACCAAAGAAGCGATGAATCTCGAGGCCGTGCTCGCCCTGCCGCCGGCTGCAGCCGCGCTGCGATCGCCTTCCCACTCTGCCCCGCGACCCCCGAAATCACCGGGTCCACGCGGCTCCGCCCTCTCGGCCGCAAGCTTCCGCCCCCCGTGCTGCGTCCAACCCGACGCTAGGGGCGCGCGCGTCCCACGCACCCCCGACACCCGCCGGCAGGAGTGAGGACGCGCGCAAGGGCGACCTGCAGCCACCTCTCCAGGCTCTGTCCCTCCGCTGGCCCGCAGCCAGTGGCTGCGAGCAAGGCAGGCCTGCGCCCCCGGCCCCCGAATGTCCCGCCAACGGGTCGCTGAAGATAACTTATGGGAACGGTGCAAGGATAGCCAGATGTGGACAGCCCGCTGCGCCCCCCACCCTCGGCCCTACCCAAGGCAAATAGCTTGGCTTCCTAGGTACCTTGTAAAAGCAAAACAGAAAAAAAAAAAAAAAAAAAGCCTTTGTGTGGCCTGAAAGGAAGGACACGGTAGGGTGACACAGCTTCGGTTTGCTGAACGCTAAACGTTCGGGTGACCCTGTTTGGCTTGTCAAGGAAGGATCGTTATGCAGGTTCTGATCCCGAAACTGACCTTGCCCTCAAATTCTGCAGTTCTTTTTGGTATGCGGAAAGTCGTTACCATCGGTGTGTGGCACAGGCCTAAATGCAAGGCAGCAGCGAGCCTGGATCGTGAGCGTGAACTTCGCGGCCGCAGCGCTGGCGCGCGCCAGGACACCACCGCACGGAGCGCGCGATGCGGCGCTCCCAGCTTCTGTTCTATGAAGTGGGGGTTCTGTCACAGGGGAGAGACTTGACTCTGTATCTTGTTCAACTTTTTTTTTTTTTTTTTATTATTCATATGTGCATACAAGGCTTGGGTCATTTCTCCCTCCTGCCCCCACCCCCTCCCTTACCACCCACTCCGCCCCCTCCCTCTTCCCCCCCCCCTCATACCAGCAGAAACTATGTTGCCCTTATTTCTAATTTTGTTGTAGAGAGAGTATAAGCAATACTAGGAAGGAACAAGTGTTTTTGCTGGTTGAGATAAGGATAGCTATACAGGACATTGACTCACATTGATTTCCTGTGCGTGTGTGTTACCTTCTAAGTTAATTCTTTTTGATCTAACCTTTTCTCTAGTTCCTGGTCCCCTTCTCCTATTGGCCTCAGTTGCTTTTAAGGTATCTGCTTTAGTTTCTCTGCGTTAAGGGCAACAAATGCTAGCCAATTTTTTAGGTGTCTTACCTATCCTCACCCCTCCCTTGTGTGCTCTCGCTTTTATCATGTGCTCAAAGTCCAGTCCCCTTGTTGTGTTTGCCCTTGATCTAATGTCCACATATGAGGGAGAACATACGATTTTTGGTCTTTTGGGCCAGGCTAACCTCACTCAGAATGATGTTCTCCAATTCCATCCATTTACCAGCGAATGATAACATTTCGTTCTTCTTCATGGCTGCATAAAATTCCATTGTGTATAGATACCACATTTTCTTAATCCATTCGTCAGTGGTGGGGCATCTTGGCTGTTTCCATAACTTGGCTATTGTGAATAGTGCCGCAATAAACATGGGTGTGCAGGTGCCTCTGGAGTAACCTGTGTCACAGTCTTTTGGGTATATCCCCAAGAGTGGTATTGCTGGATCAAATGGTAGATCAATGTTTAGCTTTTTAAGTAGCCTCCAATTTTTTTCCAGAGTGGTTGTACTAGTTTACATTCCCACCAACAGTGTAAGAGGGTTCCTTTTTCCTGCATCCTCGCCAACACCTGTTGGTGGTGGTGTTGTTGATGATGGCTATTCTAACAGGGGTGAGGTGGAATCTTAGTGTGGTTTTAATTTGCATTTCCTTTATTGCTAGAGATGGTGAGCATTTTTTCATGTGTTGTTTGGCCATTTGAATTTCTTCTTTTGAGAAAGTTCTGTTTAGTTCACTTGCCCATTTCTTTATTGGTTCATTAGTTTTGGGAGAATTTAGTTTTTTAAGTTCCTTATATATTCTGGTTATCAGTCCTTTGTCTGATGTGTAGCTGGCAAATATTTTCTCCCACTCTGTGGGTGTTCTCTTCAGTTTAGAGACCATTTCTTTTGATGAACAGAAGCTTTTTAGTTTTATGAGGTCCCATTTTCCCGCAGCTCTGCGCTCCCAGCTTCTGTTCTATGAAGTGGGGGTTCTGTCACAGGGGAGAGACTTGACTCTGTATCTTGTTCAAATTTTTTTTTTTTATAAGAAAACCGTCTCCATCTTTCGTACCTAATTGAAGAATAAACTCATTCCTTCCCGGCTGTTTCTAGGTAAACAAAGATCAGGGTGCAGTTTTAGCACCGGAGGTTACTAATCTGGACATAAGTGAGAGAACAAAGACACTGGCTTCATTACTGGGTTATTATTTGTTCACTTAAAGTTCTTGCAGTTCTTCAAAAGTAAACAAAGGTCTACTAAAACCTATAAATCTATCTGCTACCAAAAAGCTAGTTCCTAGGGCTGTTTCGCAATCTCGGGATAGGGATACTTTGGTTAATAGCGACGAATTTCCCAAATTCTTTCTCTCTCTCTCTCTCTTCTCACCAATCGTGTGCAGAATGAAATCAGAGGTGACCAGGTGACCATGGAGAAGAAAGGAGGTTGGAGAACAGAATCAGGAAAACTCAGGTTTGGAAAGGATCACGGAAGACCGTAATATTTAGCCCACACTGGACACCTCAGAGCCAGGTATTTAGCATGGGATGATATTCATTCTGGGTTTTGTTCTGTTCTGTTTTATTAGCCTTTTGGGAAAGCTCTTCTCTATATTGATCCCACATCTGTCCCTTTTTAACTTCTACCCCAGTGCTGTACTCTGCACTCTGAGGTAGCACAAAGAGTGACCCCATTCTTGTGCCTGGCAGGACAGGTAGATGGTGTGTGTGTGACCTGACAGCCCCATGACCATGGGCAGGGAAGCAGGTGAACAGTGGTTTGTGTGGAAGGAGGCAGACCTCTGTTCTTGGTCTCAATTTATCCTGATGTGTCACTTTGGGTTCACTGGTGGGTCAAACTTATAAACAAAGTTTGAAAAGTGATTGCTTTCCATACCATCCTTCCCATTCTCTTGAGCAGTGATTTCCAAGTCCTCCCTTCTTTTGTATCATGTGCCATAAAGTGCTTTTTTCATCTGGTTTCTTGCACTGCTCTCCCCCAGCATGTTTCCACTATCATTTCAATACCGTATTTCTTTCTGTCTCTGATTAAATTTTCTATTTGGGCAACAAAGTCATTTTAGACGTTCCCTGTGGAGTTTGCCAAAAATGAAGTATTACATCAGGTCTGTACTTCATTTTTGGGACTTGTTTGATATTCCTTGTTTGCTGTGGTCTTGATTAGAGTAGGTACTCACTAAACTGGTTAATGAGTTGTGTTTACTAGCAAGAACACTAACTTACTTTTGACACACAAAAAGTTTAGGACTCCAGCAGACCAAACTTGTCAACTGGTTCATTATAAATTCCACTGTTTGGATCCAAAGGCACTTTCTCTTTTTTTCTTTTTTTTCCTTTTCCTTTTTTTTTTTTTTCCTGGATTGTTTGTTTTTTTGCTTTCTAGTTAGTTAGTTATTATTCTGGATAGGGTCTCATATTTTTGCCTCCAGTCAACCTTGGACTGTTATCTTCCTACCTATGCCTCCCATGTAGCTGAAATTATAGGTATGCACCACCTTGATGGTGGGGGGAATCGCAAACACCTCCCACCCACTCCCACCCTACCACATTGTATCATCTACTAATGAAGTCAAAATCTTTGGGTCTCCTGGAAGCCGTATTTCCAGAACTTCCAGTACATGGCTAAACTGAGGACCACAGCTCCAACTGGTAATGTGTTTAAGCAGTTATTTAGCATAACAGATGATGTGATTAGGGAAAGAAGGCATATTCACCTCTGCTGAAAACTTCAACAACAACAAAAAAGCAATATTCCGCTTCTGTAGAGATTGTAACACACAATTTCAACTTAAAAAGGGGTTGGAAATGCCACAAACGATCCATCAATGAAGACCTGGATGGTAGGACTACAAGTTCCTTTGCCAGCTAAAACAGACTAGAGTAGTCATGCCTGTGAACTTGATCAATTTTTCTTTTTTCTTTTATCCTTTCTCCTTCCTATGAAGTTGGACAATGCTAAATTCTTTTCTTTTTCTCCCCCTAGAATGTACTGTGAAAAGTTATGCTCTAGAGCCCACAAATGCCTTCCAAAATATGAACTCTCTTTAATATCTAAAGAATATTATGGGATGAATCAAGCATTTGTTTTAGAATGTCATATATTAAGCTTTTGAAACCGATTTAGTCGGTAGAATTCTGAAGGTATCACAGAAAGCCACATAATCCAATATAGGAATGTCCAGAAAATGAAAACGGACTAGACAGAGAAGATTTTTTTAAAAAATAAGTCATAAATAAACGGTTTGTTTCTCTTTAAGATTATGCACTCCTAAATAACCTTAGCAGTTAATCTGAATTGATTTAAAGATAGTACCTTTCAACTGATAAATGCTTCCTTATTTTCCTTAGGATTCAGCTCACTGAAATTTTCATTTACCTAATCATAACAGACTATTCTTAACTCAAATATAGAAGATAATGCATCCAGAAGTCGCATTCTCTAAATTATTCAAACTAACATGTTGACAATAACTTGGTGTCTATGAAAAGTTGTAGATTTTTTTCTGTATGAAAACTAATTGACCAATAAATAAATTATACCTGAATAATAATTCCTGAAATGCATTATCCTTTCCAAAGTTCTTTCTTTGGCATTGTTACATTCATTAAGGAAAAATAGAGGATTCCCCACCTCACCCCCATCCCCAACCCAGCCTTGTTCAAAAGGAGTGAAAACCAGTTTAGCCAACTAAACGGGAGAGTTACAGAATTCTTTACTTGAAATTCAGTTCATCTGCCAAACAACACAGGTGTGTCTTTGACTAGCCCAAGGATTTTCTAAGCATCAAGGTTGGCTTGAATATACATTAGCATCCCCTGAATACC